ACTTAGTATCACATTTACCATTTGACCACAACCCTCATTCTGCACTGGCTGGCTAATAGTGATTGGCATTTTATTCTGATTCTTCTTGTATTAAAGCAGCTGTTATGTATGCATGGGCTACCAACATGTACCAGCAGGCACCGTACACCAACAACCCCTCTCTCCCCCCCAAAGTTTATGAACCATTTCCTATAATGCCCAGCCTACATTTAGACTTGTACAACATAAAGTAAAAAATACTCAAGAAAAATCCGGGGTGCCATACTTGGCCGTCACTGAAATAGCCTGTCTAAATAGTTTGGCTCTTAGCATTTACATAGTGCAAACTTATTCAGGAGCGCTTTGCAATATAACAAAAATAAGACTATTTAAATAAAATTTCATGCACAATAAGAACTTATAACAGATATGAACTTTAATGTAAACATGTAACAGTCTAGTCAAAGCAGCATTTCCTTGTGTCCCTCTGTCTCCTACTTGCCCAGCTCGCCCTACTTGCAGTGGTGTATTTAGGATTTGTGCTGCCCTAGGCAGGATGGTGCTCAGGCACCCCCCCACCCCCTTAATTTAAATTTTTCCCACCCTTTCCAGTCAAGGCTGCACTTTGACTGACAGACACACACCCTCAGATGCATACACTCATTGACAGACACACTCTCATATACACTGACAAACAATGACAGACACACATTCACTGATTTGACACACACACAGACAGGCACACATTGACAGACGCACTTTGGGGATAAATATGTTTAAAAGGATCCCTAATGTTCACACACTTGGACCTTAGTAGTACATTCCACTGCACACCAATCTTGGAAAAGGTAAAAAAAAATTTTTTTTTTGGGAAAAACGTATTAATTCTGGAAATACAAGCAAAACATTGCCTAGAACAGGCTTTCCCAAACTCCGACCCTCCAGATGTTGCTGAACTACAACTCCCATGATTCTCAGCCTATCTATTTCATTCGTAGAATCATGGGACTTGTAGTTCATCAACATCTGGAGGTATCAGAGTTTGGGGAAGCCTGGCCTAGAATCCTCCTATACGCCAGTCCAATATCGTTTAGTATGTGAAGGTTGATATCCTGCTCTGTGATCCTTGCCGGTCATAGTATGCTGTAAATGCCACTAGGGGAAAAAAAGAAGGGAAAGAACTACATAGAAGTGACCCAAGGAAGGACCGAAATGCCCTGAATGAGATTCACGCCTGGCACGGCGCTTTCTCAACTGTTGTAGGCAATTTTTTTTGCTTGTACAGTATGTCTTTTAATTGCTAAAAAAAAAAGTTTGCAGTTTTGAAAGATTGGTGTGCAGTGGAATTTACTTCACAGGTCTGTGTGCGGACATTAGGGATCGTTTATTTTTCTTTCTATTGGAGTTTTATGAAGTCCAGCACTAAGGATGTGTGTTAAAGGATCACTATAGTGTCAGGAAAACAAATCGGTATTCCTGACACTAAGGGTCCCCCTTCCATGGTGCTGAAGGGGTTAAAACCCCTTCAGTTACTCACCTTATTCCACCGCCGAGCTCCATTACCTCTCCTCCCCCTCTGACGTCAGCTCCCCCTCTGACGTCAGCTCCCCCTCTGACGTCAGCGGAGCGAAATTTCTCAATGCTTTCCTATGGACGCTCTGCGTGATGGAGGCATAATATGCCTCCAGCGTCACAGATGCGCCTCTAGTGGCTGTCCGGAAGACAGCCACTAGAGGCTGGCTTAACCCCAAATGTAAACCTAGCTGTTTCTCTGAAACTGCTATATTTACAGCAGGCAGGGTTAACCCTAGAGGGACCTGGCACCCAGACCACTTAATTGAGCTGAAGTGGTCTGGGTGACTATAGTGTCCCTTTAAATTTTATCCACATGATATGCATATAATAACTGGCAAAGATATTCCATGATATCGTAGCTGCGGCAATCTGTTGGCTTGATTGTTTAATTGGTCATCTTGAATGTGTCTCCTCCTCTCTTAATGAGACCTGATGCCTGCCTTCATACAACTTTATACCGGCATCAAGTGTCCACATCATTGCCACTCTTTTATGGCAGGGTTTCAGAAATATCTGCTTAGTATGCAGTTTGATTTGCATTTACATGACTTGTCATGCTTCCATCTCTCCTTACATCAATGAAGCATACAAATAATTAACACAATGAGTTGGTCTGCAAAGACCTAACCTATGATTTCTTTTATTAATCCCCTTTTATTATAAAATTAATAAGGCTTGAATAATTATTAATTGAGGCATTACAGTGACCGTTTAACTGGTGTTATGCACAAGATAAAGCATGTTGGACGGAAAAACCCATGTGCAGAGTAGATATTTGATAGTCCTAACATCAACATCTGAGGAAAGGGATTTAGGGGTAATTATTTCTAATGACTTAGATAGGCAGACCATGTAATAGAGCAGCAGGAAATGCTAGAAGAATGCTTGGTTGTTTAGGGAGAGGTATTGGCAGTAGAAAGAGGGAAGTGCTCATGCCATTGTACAGAACACTGGTGAAACCTCACTTTGAGTATTGTACACAATACTGGAGACTGTATCTCCAGAAGGAAAGATGTATTGCAGGGTAAAACGCCCCAGGAAAGGTTAAAGGATCTTGGTATGAAGAGCTTGGAGGAAAGACGAGATGGGGAATATGAAAGAAACCTTAAAATACTTAAAGGGAATCCACACCGTAAAGGAGGAGACTACTCAAAAAGAGAAACTACCACATCAAGAGGACATAGTCTTAAATTAGAGGGGCGACTGTTTAAAAATATCAGGAAGTTTTACTTTACTGAGAGGGTAGTGGATGCATGGAATAGCCTTCCAGCTGAAGTGGTAGGGGTTAACACAGTAAAGGAGTTTAAGCATGCGTGGGATAGGCATAATGCTATCCTAGTTATAAGAGAAGGCCAGGAACTAATGAAAGTATTAAGAAAATTGGGCAGACTATATGGGCCAAGCAGTTCTTATCTGCCATCACATTCTATGTTTCTATGTTGTTCCAGTATAAAAGGGCTTAACCGGGATTGCTGCCCTTGAACTCTGTAATTTTGCGTCCTCAGATTCAGGGTACTAGACACAATCCAGGGTAGCAGGGGATGTGCCTAAAATTAGGGTTGCATAATGTTTGTGCACATTAACATAAAATAAAAATCCAATATAATAACTGAAGGTGTAAGCTGTTAATGTTTTTCTACAATTATGGCTATAGTAGAGTGCTTGATTTGAAAACACAAGTGCTCAGATGAAGCATAATACACCCGCAAGGGTGCTACAGTTGTATAATATGAAGTATGCACTGTTTTTTGTTCACATACATTCTAACAATGGCATCCATAAAGCACGGAGGGTGTTAGACACATGATGGTACAACACGTATGGCTGCACCATATAAAACATTAGAAAGTGTGCTCAGACAGCAGCCTTCATATTGTATCAGACTTTGCACACCGCATCATTAGGCCTTAGATGCTGATGTAATGGATTGGACCACTTACTCCAAATCGCCAGGCAACAGGCAATGCATTGTAGAAGCCACAAGACAGAGCAGAGAGGGTACTAATTCATTACAATTTAATAACCTGGGCCCCTGCTTCATTGGAACTAGTCAATACAATAAAATGCAGTATTGGCGTAACTCAGAGCTCCAAAGAAATAAAACTCAAAGTATGATGTGTGTAAGTGTAGCAGAGAGTAACACCACAATAAACAGTTGTGTGTTATCAATGAGCTCCTCAGCAGCAGAACTTCTGTAGAAATACATGTAATGACTGTGTATGTCAGTAATGCAGAGTCCCACAGCAAATAAAGCTTACTGTAACAGTCTGTATTTATCAATGTAAGATTCAGCTCTAAACAGTAATGTGTTGAGTGCCAGTGTTTTTAGAGGATAAGAAACCTCATTGTAACTGGCAATATATGTGAATTTATCACAAAGCTACATGGGAACATGTGGTGTGTAGGAGTGTATCAAAGACATTTCCAGTAACAGTCATAGTAAAGGGCAGAGTCTATCGCAAAGCTCCACTGCAGTAAAATGCACAGCAATGTAAAGTTTTTCAAACCATTGTGTCACGCAGGAAAGTGTGGATTTCTGCACTTTATGCATCGTTTGAAAAAAATGTTGAGTGGAGAAATTTTCTCACCCTCAAGATATGTTCTAGTTTGTACTACCCATTCTGCATTGCATACAGGCAGATTATCTGTCCAACGTCAGCCTCAAGACTGCTTTACAAACAAAGAAAACAGACAGACAAAAGAGCCAGAGCCAATTTACCTGTCTGAGTGCAGACAAAGAGACCTAACTCCAGCAACCTTTTATTCACTGTGAAACCTTACACAGATTGCAAATTGGTTAACAATGCTTTTTGTAAAATGGGTGTCAATGATCTGCATGTTTGTGTAAACATGCCATCCTAATGGTTTAACCCTTTAAGGGCTAGTGACTGAATAATTCTGTCGTAACGAACGAGCCTTTAAAGATCCTATAACAAAATGTAATGTCCCACTTATTTAACTGTTGCAGGTTTGTATAGAACTCCGAATACTAAAGGGACAGTCCATCATACAGTGGCATAAAGTCTTTATGGACCAGATTGTGTGATATGAAATGTCTATTCTCCTTAAGGAGTTAATACTGCATATCAGTGCATGTGTATGTTTTAAGAGTTGATAAATTAATGACCGTGACTTATCAAAATTCTGACACATAGTAAGGAAAAACGTATTCCTGTTTAATTGCATTTGCCAACAGACTGCCAGACATTGCTTAATTGTTAACATTCTGTTAGCTCAGTGGAACTTCCACACTGAGAAAATTCCTCCAGTCATTCTTCAGCACACACAGACACACACAAAATTCTAATAGGAGGATCCCCTGAGGCGTAGAGTTTTTAACTTGGCCAATCAGGCTGGTTTGGTGTCTGCAGTGATAGCCAATGTTTAAGCGCAGTGTGCCTCATGTGATGGCCCACTCCTAACCCTCCTCCCCTTTTCTTTCTGCTGCCTTTTCAGAAGACAGGAAAAAAAATCACCAGTTCATGTAAGGACTGCAGTTCCAGGAGATGCACAATCTCAGTCTTCTCCAAATCAGGCGGTTTAATTTCTAAATACAAGAATTTCAAATGGGGAGACCTGAGTAATCGGTCAAGTTTATGACATCCTGCACTATACTGTAAGTACAGCAATTATTTTAAACACATTTATAATTCTGTAGGAATATCTGAAATGAATTTGTAAAATTGATCATGTTTTAATTCAAAGTAAAATTAGCTAGCTTATTTAGTTTGGGGAGGAAGGAGGCATGGGATAGAAAGCAACATTTGCCAAGTTACCTTAAGCAAATTATTTTTAACCCTAAAACTGCTAAAATGACTTATGGCTTTGCAGGCCCCCAGACAGCAAGTCTGTTTTTACACCTTCTGTCTAGCCTTTTATGGAATGCAGGTACATAAAATAGAATCAATGATTTTTCATTTAAAACCGTGACAGTTTAATTAGTGGGGGAAATGTATTTTTGTTTTGTTTTTTTGCATGTCCACCTCCCCTATATAGTCTGCCTGGCTCTGTATGGGTTAAATCGCTAACCTGCAATAATTTGGAGCATGCCATTAAAATCACACATTTTTCAATGCCAGGTGTTTTGCAAAGGGGTTAATAAGGAGAATTTACGAACAGAATATTTTTTTCTGTGTGGTGTTTCGTGCAGAAAGAGTTAAATCTGCTTCCTGCATTTTACAGAAGTTTGGCATTGTTATCTTGACTTTGCATATCTTTCCTGAAATGTATTGTGTTCTAGTTCTCTTATTTGAAATATTGTTTCAATAAGTACGAGCAGACCCCTTTATACTTTGAAATTGTATTTAAAGATTGAGTTGGCTTTGGGGCTTCAAGAAAACAGTTTTTGGTTTTTTTTTTGTTCTAATTTATTGAAACAATCAGAATTCTGCAATATAAACGGGCAAACCCAAAATATGCAGTAAAAAACCTTGCAATAAATGTTTCCTGCACGCTTTGTAGCATTTGATTAAGTGATACTTCTCATAGTTTATTATACTCTTGTTGCTTTAAACCCAACAATAGATTATATTGGCATAAGATTCCGACTTTTTTCATTTCTTTGTGAAATTAAAGGGCAAGAAATGTACGTTTTGCTGGAAGGTTATCCAACAAAATGTCAGTTGATTCATGCGTTGAAAGGCATATTATTAAAGAAATGATCGATGTGTATTCAATTTCTCTTTAGTTTTGTCATGATTTTCTGTAAAAACAGTTAATGTCTCGGATCATTTTCTTTATCTATTTGATTTTTATGGAGTTTACAAATGGATGTCACATGACTTCTTTTCCACCAAGTAAGTACAATAGTTTTGCTGACTAGGTAAAATTTTACATAACGATTTCTGAGGAAGTAATTTAGCCACATGCTGCAGCGAAAAGTCTGTTACATAGTGAGAACAGAAGAACTAATATAAAAAGTTTATAAATGTAAGGGTTGTTTAATTTTATTCAAGTTGTTACAGGTATATGTACTACAGTGTAGAGAACGGAGTAAACTATTGATACATACAGCCATATGATAAGTTCTATGAATAAGGGAAAGGTATAGGTACGGATTATTTCGAACTATAGAAGAGGTTTAAAGTAAGAGGTTATATAAAACAATATAGCGGGTTGTCTGTGGATACAGGGCTTGTACTATATAAACCATTGTGAACGGTTAAATAGGGCAGGGTAGGCAACCTTCACTCCAGATGTTGTGAACTGCCTCCATCATGCTTTTATAGCCATAATGACAAAGCCTCATCGGAGGTGTACTCCAAAAAAGTGCTGGAATTGCCTACCCCTTATATAGAGCATAGGAGGCATCATAGACGCATGTTAAGTTGCACAATTAGATGTTTACGGAGAGGATATATGGAAAGTAGGAGATATAGGAAGACTCTATATGGAGCAATAGGAGGTGTTATAGAGCCGATTTGGTAAGCAGGGTTAGAGGGAGAGATTCCAGGGCAGAGTAAATGGAGTTGGTTAAGGGAGATTTTATATGGAGGGGTTGAGTAGAGCGTTTATTTAGCAGCAACTGAAGACATGCAGTTGTAGAAGGAGTAACGGGGAGAGAGAGTAAACTGCAAAAAACCTAGAGTTAAGTGAGATGTTATGTGTAGGAGGAGTGAGCGGTTCTATGGTGCAGTAGATGGTGGCATAAGAATATATGGCACAGTAGGTGGAGTTATAGGTTATATGGATCAATAAGTGAAGTTATAACGAGATTATATGGAGCAGTGGTGGAATTAGAGACTGTAGGAAAATGTATAGAGGTTATATAGACCATTAAAGGATTCATTATAGAGCGGTTATATGGACCATTAAAGGAGGCATTATAGAGAGGCTACATGGACCATTAAAGGAGGCATTATAGAAGTTATATAGAGAAGTAGGTGGAGTTATAAGGCAGTTATATGAAGCCGTAAAGGGAGGTATAAGAATATATGGCGCGGTAAGTGGAGTTCCAGAGGTTATATTGGCAATAAGTGAAGTTATGAAGAGAGGTTATATGGAGCAGCAGGTGGAGTTAGAGACGTAATGGAGTTATAGATAGTTATATGGAGCAGTTAGAGATTCCAAGCCACAATACATGGAAATACAAAATAAGGGTAAGATATGGAGCTACGTGTGGACTTCTAGAAAGAGGTAATATTCAAAACAAAGATGGCTTGTTAGGAGAGGTTAAATGGAGCAGTAGGAGTGAGAGTGGCTGTTTACAGCAATTGTTTTGTTGGGTAGTGTAATACAATTGATTTTAGAGATCTTATTTTTTGTAAATTGAGTTGGATATAGGTTATGTAGGAGTTAAATGGAGAAAAATAAACTCTTATGGGGCAAATTTTAATGAACTAGTTAGAATTGGGGAGCGAATCAGGTCAGTGAAATGAATAATTTAGTGTTTATTCAGAGCAGCATTAAGGATTCTAAGAATTCTAGAATCTTGACAGGAAGGTGGTTTGTAATAGGGTGTGGTTATGTGGAAGGACAGAAGTCTCCTCAGGCTCCATCCTTAAAATGTAACAAAATATCATGGATTTGTACTGAAATCTAGAAGAGTGATGGGTCCCAAACAGGTTGCTGCTGTGCACAGTGTAGGAAGGGAATGAGTTCTTGAATTCATATTATTTCTCTTCCTCCACCTCTTTTTCTTTGTCTGTTTTGTGTTAATGTCTGCCATCCCCCACCCCCTTCCATCACCCAGTATGTTAGACACCTGAATGCAGACAGTGATCCGCAGAGGTTCAGACGGTCTGGAATTCAGCCATATAGGCAGACTTTTTATTTATTTACTAAACCGACAGCCTTGTTTTACCCCCACCCTCCCCTGTCCTGAGGTGCACACACTTTCTGCAAGCTAATTCATATCACTGTCTCCTATCAGCTAACAAATGTCTGTTTAATAATAACAGCTACAAATATTGTACAACAATGCTAGATATTTTACGTATCCTTGAAGCTTACTTCCTATTGCCTGTAATCATGTTTTTGGTGAGGTATTTTTTGTGGCAGAAATCATAATAAAATATAAAGGTAAATGAAGTATAGAAATTGTTAATGCCCGAATAGCTGCTGTTGTGACTTTTTTATTTCCTTTAACTCCTTAAGAACAAGAAATAAGGGAAATCACTTGAGATTATTGCATTCTTTGCCATTGGTTCTTAATGGGTTAAAACATGCCATACAATTCAGTACTGATCATGTGCAGCTTTGTACTCCCCCCTGACATATTGTATTAACACTCTAATGCATGGCTTAACCTTTTCAGTGCTGGAGGCAACAAACCAAAGAAAGCAGCTTGTGGTGCACATATTAAATGTTTGTTGAAATAGAATATAAAAAAGTAATCCGTCATAAATGGTAATCAAAAGATTGTTTATTAAAGCGTAATGAACCGCACTGTTATTGAGAAACAAATTTAGTTTTAACAATGTTTGAAAATGTGCATACACATCATGTTGTAAATGTCAGGCATACTGTTCTAAGGGATGGCAGCATAAGTGGCAGATAATTTGTTGCACATTTTTTTTTAAAATAGCCATTTTACTTTCCTGCAGTTAGACTACAACTCCTTTAATCCTTTGCCGGTTTTGAAACTGAGAATAATTAGAATGGGATACAAATCAGAGGGAAAAACACAAAGAAAAGTGGCTGATGGATGTACTATCTCCATTTCTAGTCCACTGCAAATGTATCTGCAAGACTGAGCAAGAGGCTCAGGGGGCCCACCATTATTTTGACTATTAGCTGATAGGCTAGTCCGAGCCTGTATTTATGTTTCCATCAATCTCTTACTTTGCTTGCATTCAAAAATGCATTAGAATGTCAGGGAAACATTCACTCCTTTTTACTTGTAATATAGTTGACCTTTTGTCTTTAGTGTTTGACAATGAAAATAAAACCTGACAAGTTAATGTGATTTATAATTGGCTTTATATACCGTGTATAAATGTCATACTGCCAGTATCGTATAATGAAACTTTGTGACATCAATTTTTTTTTTTTTCCTTGCTCCAAACAAATGCAAAGGATTGCTGGTCAAAGCCATAATTAATTATTTTTTTGTTTTTGTTTTGAAAAACCACTTCTTGTCTAGTTAAGATTACTTTGTAAATACATAGCATAACAGAAAATTGGAAATGCAACAGATCTCACATACCCAATCTCAGCTTTAACCCTGGCAGTTTTGGCAAATTCACGTTTTTGCGCTTTAAAATATACACTATAGGGAGGTTATACTGGTTTTGTTTTGTGTTTTTTCATGCAGCTTGATATGTCCTTTTATTTTTGCTGTAGCTGTTTATTTTGACAGTTCTTCACATTCCTTAACCAAAGGAAGATTGAAAATATCAAATTTTTATTGGGAATGGGTGTTTTATCACATTCTGTGGCAAGAAACCCAATGTTGGTTACATTCCTTTGACAAATTTTCTAATTCTTGTCTGGCAAACACTGTTTTTATTTTTTTTATTTTATATTAAAGGAAGAACGGGTGACATAGCAGATAAAGCTTGTCGCTTGTCAAAATGCTCATTAACTGCAGTGTGATCTCCCTACATCAAAGAGACTGTATGGCAGTATAAAGTGATAAAAGCTAGACTGACGAAATATGGCTGACGTGAACGTATTTCCTTTTTCCCCAAACTTGCTCGATCCCCCATCCTAATGAGAAAAATGTAAATCTATATGGGGTCCCTTAAACAGTTCTCTACCACTCCACTGGATGAGTGAAAACTGTTATTGCTACGACTTATTTGTAATGCAAAACCATATTCCATAGAGCAGGACAATGGGTGATCACGATATACAAATAGATTCAACAAGGTATGTTTCCACAACAAAAATAACAGGAATGGATGTGTCACAATGCCCTCCTTCAACTTTAAAGTTGTATACAGCGTATGAATGAGTTAATATGCCCAATACCTCTCCCCAGTCCTGCAGCTTACGAATAGGTCATACCATAGTTACTATTTGTTAAAGGCCACCTGGATTTGCCAATAAGCAGAGTAGGCACCTACCTACAGATGCTTATTTACAAGGGTTGATTACTTTGCACCTGTAGGCACTGGAAATGTAAATCTGGCCCTGATTTAGGAAAGGGGACATCCTTTAGAATGAAAGCTCACGGGCTATCTGGCTAATCACTTTGTATAAAAGAGCTTCAGTGGCTAGATATCGGCTTACGGGCAGGGCTCTCTACATCTTGTATTTGTCTGTGTATATTGTAAGTTCTCTACTAATTGTACAGCGCTGTGGAATCTGTTGGCGCTTTATAAATACCATAGATGCGTAGGAGTAGGCATTTGGTAGCAGATTTTTTTTTTTTTTTTTTTGAGGGCATGCAATCATTTGCCAAAACCACTCACAATTATATGCAATATTAAAGGGCACATAATTTTGGGCAAGGGATTAGTGACCCATTTTCATTATTGATAGCAATATTGTAGATCGAGCAAGGCCAGTATATGAATTTCCACTGAAAAGGCAACATTGTATTAAACCTGCATCCTGTAGGTAAAACCCATCTTTACATGTTCTATATCGGTGTTGAAAATATGCATACTGTTAATAGAATAGGTGTCGGTAATAAACAAGGTTATATTCTATATAGAGGCATCAATGATACATATTACTTGTACATAAAGTAGTAGTGTATTTGTCAAACTTATCAGAAAAAAAGCCCCAGATATTTCTTTCAACATCAGTTGTGTAATGGAATATGTCACATTTTGTATTGATAAGAATTAATCCTATGAGAAGAAACAAATGGATTTCCCAACTTACTGCTCATCACAACGTAATCAACCACTCCCAAATTCGCGTTCATTATAAATGCTTATTAATTGCAATCCCTTTATATCAAAGACTGCAAGACCAACCGGAAGCTTAAGACTGCTGGTCTAAGTCCTGCTGAAATAAATAACTATCTGAATAAGGGAAGTAAATTATGTTTTGGATCCCCAGGATTTCATATGAATGAAACCCCAACATAATCATCCCACCCCAATTAAAATTCAGTGTATATTAATCTGATCTTACAGAATACAGACCACCACTAGTTTTGTGCTTCTACAGAGAGGTTGACAAAAGGGTGATTTATATTTTAGACAGATAAATACACCAATTTAGTTTTAAGATCATGCATTTCTACATGGTGAACAACAGGCAACAATCAGGGCTGTACTTTGGGGCATTTAGACATTGTAAATTCATATATGCCCCTGCTGTAGTGATAAAGGAACAATACGTGTGTGTATATGTAGTCATGGAATACATACTATGCGTGGTACGACCATTTTATGACACCAATTTATTGCCCATGATGAGTACATCATATTGAGAATATATTGCCATCCATTCTTGGATTTGATAATGGTGAGTTTCAAGGCTTCAATTATAAATGTTCATTCCTTTATAGAAACAAGGGCACTTGAGTTTCCCCATCTGTAATTACTGGTGTATTGGGAGAAAAATATCACAATATGTAGAGAGACTAGAGAAGAGCATAAAAGACTATCTATGCTCGGCTCACCGCACTGCCTCAATGGCTTCAACCACAAAGCCTCCTTGCTCTACACTTTCATTACTGTTTGGCAGTGCTAGCCCCTGCAGCATGTTCCACTAGACGTGATTGATTTAGTTTCTTGGTAATGAAACCTAAAATTGCGTCTTTCAAATGTCATCTGAGCTCTGGTGTCAAACATGGCACTCTTTGATTGGGTGATGCTTTAATTGGAGGCTTGCTGGTCAGAAGGCACTTTACAACCACCTTTCCTGCTGAAAGCAAACAGTAGTTTATCTAAATCAAAAGTGGCTTATGTAAACTACATTTTGTTTTTCTGCTCATCTAAGCAGAAATTAGAAAAATAAAATGTTACTGTTTCTTTAAAATGCATTTGATTTATTTTTCATGGCCCTATGTTAAGAACTGTGTAATAAATGTATAACAATTTGACAATGTTGCATATGAGCCTGAGCTATATTTCAAAATGTAGGATCATCTTTTCAGTGAAACGATAAAACCACGGAATATCTAAGCTGAATCGGACCCTAGTTTCAAAATTAGAATGTTACTAAGCATTAAAACTTGTAGTTCAGCTGTTCTCAGTAATTTTTACCCTTTGTGGGCTTTACAGCAAGAATTACACATTTTCTGATGTGATTGATTTTATGATTGTTGGGTGTAAGAAATTGGTGGCAGCCACATGTAACCCAGCTAGTGGCTGCATGCCCATAGACTAACAAGAGAACCTGTTTTGGCTGGTATTACCCATATTTGGAGTATTTTTTTTTTTTTTTCAGACATTGGTGATGACTATACATTTTTGTTTTTTTACTGTGTGACTTTATGTGACAGTAATGTTTACATGTAGAGATTGTTTCCCCACATAGAATCTGCCAATCGTTTTCAGGTATTTAAATAGCTGGCTATATGTTTTACGAACACTGGCATTTTTCTCACATCTGATTCAATTACTTCATTAAAGTTATGCCATGCAATTCAACATATCTGGCATTTTAATCCATTTTGTACCATAGTTTTGGCATGAATTTCTAATTGCAAAGGGCAAGGGAGCTAATAGGGTTTCAAAATATAAATGCATGTTTTTAGCATTCTACAAAACACTTTTTATTTATTTTCGTATAAATATTGCATCACTAGAACAATAACACACTTTTGATTTTAGGGGTAAAAAGTGCACCCTCTTCTGTTCTAATCATCTGATCGCACATGATTGCTAACTTGCAAGAAAAAGTAACACTTCATCCAAATATGCTTTCACTTACATCAAAAGGTTTCACACAGGTTTTTTTTTTTTTTTGACATGACACCTTGGTAATTTCCCATCATGTCAGTTTTTCTGTAGAAATGCCAGTCTAACAAAATTTTGCTTTAAGGTTTGCTTCAGATACCAGCAAGCAATCTTAACCTTCCTATTGGTTGCAAGATGACTGAAATTGGCCAATAGGAAAAGGTCTTTTGTCTGCAGTATTTGCGGCTCAGTATCTGTAGAATAACCTGCGTCAAAGCTATGGGAGAGCCAGTGTTATGTGTAAAAACCAATACTTAAAATACATATTTTCACTCCAACATATTACTTTCTAAGGATATCCATAGTGATTCATTAGCATAAGTCATACTAACTGTAATTCTGATCCTAGGTATTTTACATTTATTCTAATGTAGGCCCAGATATTTCAGATCCTCACCACAGGCTACATTTTTGGTAGTTCCGGTGTTGAAGTTTTGGTAAAATCTCATCTTCCAAAAAAAGTGTCAGTCCCATGAAAACTATTTAATAAACGGTGACCTTTCATGTTAAGGAAATTAAAATGAAGTGTGACATATTTTCTAGCCTTAATAAGGTTATTTTTAATGCTATTTTTTTTCTTTATTTACATATGCAATGTTTGAGAAAAAAAAAAAAAAGACCCTTTAAAATACAAAAGTGAAAAATAAATGACTACACACTGAAAGAATTTGTATTCTCATCACAATTTAGGGATCTTTATAAACGTTGTGGTGTTTTAGTGCATGTCCCCCAAGCCTTTAGAAACCTATTATTTGTTTAAGAGAAAAGCTCTATCTAAACACTGTCTCTAAACAAAAATAAGCCATGTAGCCCAAATTATATATAATCTCCAAAGGGAGAAATTATTTTCAGACACTTTGTCTCTGAAACACGAAAGGCCATAATGGAGCAATTCTAGTATAAAGTACCGTACTTAAATAGAGCAAATGTAGTAGCAATCAATGAAGTTTGATTATGACAGTACAAAAATTACTCTTGTTCTACTTTGGTAAATATAGCCATAGGTGTTTTATCAAGATAAAAGAATTAGATCATTTATGTGGGAATGTGCTCAATCATCCCAGAGACAACCCACATTATTCTAATAATGGCTCCTAATTCAGGGCTGATAAATATATACTTTCATGTATTCAAATATACAGGACGAGATTTCCTCTCCCCACCCCCCATATTATATTAACAGGGTTACACTAAAACTGAGGCACATGATGGCAGCATGACAAAATACAATGTGTAAAAAAAAAAAAGTCCCAATAATGAGTTTAATTTTCATATGTGCAATAACTAAAATCAGTATAGCGCTACTGTATCTAATAGTGAAGACAAAAGCACACTTTGCAGTTTGTTACAAAATAAATAAATAATTGGCATGCAGATTTAATTTATGAATATATTTGCCAAGTCATGAAATTTGGCCCAGTGATATCTGACCGCTCACTAATTTAACTATTTACACACAAGTAATTCATAAATTACTACTATTTTTAAAGAGAATTTCTTTTAAAATATATGTATATATTTTTGCATTTTATTGGCATATAAATTACCAATAATTTGCAGCATACTTTGCTCTCACCTTCCGCTTCTCGTGTGTGTTTCACTGGGGCCGTATAACAATAACGTGAGGAGTTACAAATGGCAATTACATGTTGTAATGGTAAGTAGGGCATGGATACATCACCAAATGGGAGGAGTCACAGCATGTTCTTGTGGCAATGGAAGGGCGGAGTGACTAATGAAGCGCTTTGTGCATTACACTTATAAAATGTATAAAGTGTAGTGGGCTTTTTTATTTATTTTTTTTTTTTAAATGTATTTTTTTTTTTTTTTTTCACTGGGCCATAAAAGATTAAAAGGAGTTCTTCCTGATAGCTCAGCAGTCCTTATCTGCTTTCTTTTTCACTCTGCCCTGCATTGCTTCAGCACAAGACAAATGGTTATCCAATGAAAGCTTAAAGTTTGTGATTTTTAGCCTTGTAGAAAATGTTATACCTCATTTATTTAGTGAACGTTTTCTACAACAGACTTTATTTTCATTTTTCAGTTGCATCTGCCTTGCATTCCCTGTGTAAGAATGAAGACAGGATTAACACTCCGTTAAGTGGTACCCATTCCTGCTCGTTATGTGCTGCTAATTTGTGTAATTTGACCAGAATTCACCTATATCAGTGAAAAATTTAATGTCATTATAGCCATGATTTTGATTTAATAAAAAAAAAATCCGGTTTCCATAGCTCCAAACCCTCACTATTTAGGAGGGAGGGTTCTATTTGTGTCCAAATCACATCCATCTTTTCTGTATTTACTTCACATGTCTCAGATACAGCTTTTTGTAATCGGTATATCCATAAAATGTTAACCCTTTACAGCTAGGAATAACTGAGCACTGTAAAATCCAATCTGATAAAAGATGATCTGTAATATAACCATGCTTGATATTTTAAAATGGAAGCATACACGCAAATAATCCTCACCAGTTAATCTCCGGTCTTATCTTTGGTCAGGAGAACTATTTATTTATTTGACAACACCGTGTGTTTTTGAGATCCTCTATTGCACATCATTCATGATGAACACATGAACTCCTAAATATTTGCAGAGTTTTGTTTGCTAAATTGTGCCTTCAATCAAAGAGGCATTGATGGCTGCCCCATAGAGTAAGGGACATCTGAGAGTTGTTGTAAAAAGAGAAAATTGAGGGAGGAATTGTGGGAGGGGTTACCCAGCCTAATTAAACTTAAGCCACCCTCTCCTATAGCCATGACAGCCTGATTCATCCCAGCCACCACTCCCTTCATAAATGTATACCTCCTGGAATGCTCTATTTATTTACAGGCCTACCTTAGTCTCTTTCGGCACATCATTACCAACTTTGCACTCTCTGCCTTTGTTCCTGACCCCAAATATATATATATAATTTAGTAAGCATATTCTAGGTCACATGGTGAAAAAAGAATTACTCTTTACTATGACAGAACATGTTTTCTATGAAACTTTCTAAACTAAAATCATCAGATCTTCCATTCTGCCAGAAAACCTTGGTTAATGAAGTATGAAATAGAAAAAGCTCTCTGCATTTTAAAAATAATTGAGCATAATTAAAAATAAGTGCTCCCTAACACACTGCTCCTCAAACCAGCCATTATAGATCACACAACAGTTGGTTTAGATTTTTTCCCAATTTTTCTCAGAGGGGGATATCCCTAAAATCTGGAACATAAGTGGGTCTTGATCACTGTTTTTGGAAGCACTATCTTAAATCGGGTCCAGCATGGGTACTCTAATTTTTGAGTAATTGGATAAATATAGAAACTGTACAAGTAAAAACACAAGAATTGTGTTTTCTCTACACATCTGCTTGTACAACCATTGGATCGTTCACAGAATGCAATGCACATAGGTGTTTATTGCTTTCTTGAAAAAGTAAAGTGCATTTTGGAAGCATGGATATGTGTACATAGAGGGTAAGAGTGATTTAGAAAAGACTGCAACTTAAGTTAATGTTCTAGTGAATTTATATTACATTTTATTCATCTCCTCAAACAGATCTTTTAATTCCAATATCTAGGAAAGGCAGATGCATCTTGATTTTGGAAAATAAAGTAATTAAAAGTGTCTGTCCAGGAGGTTTTGGGACTAATGCATCTGAAACATCCTACATACAATAAAAAACAATATTTGCATAGATGTACATTCAGAATTTGAGTGTAGCACAAGCATGTACATTAGACCTCTAGAAAAACATGAACATTTATAGGAAGGCTTGGTGGAGCATCATGGCACAACAACCGATGCAGGTATCTAATGTATAAGTGGGATGTGCTGAAAATGGTTGCGCGGGCCCTGTGTGTTGTGGTGCCAGCACATTGACCTTGGCTCACAAAGCTTTGTCTTTATCTACCAGAATTACTTTTTCTTTCCAAGTGCTGTTGCTTTCTGTTTGAAATGACTTCGACCAATGAAAGCACGTGTCTCGTTCAGATGAGAGCACTCATTTCAATGACATCTTTATTCTTCAACTGATTATATATTCAAGGGCATTAAATCAACACAGAATTTTCAATTCTAATTGAGCTTGTGTGGAGCATGGTGGGGAGGGAAATAAGTGAGGTCTTTGTAAGACGTCTAAGTGAATATTCCCTTTGTTTTTATTTTGTTATAATCCCAAGAATGAGAAACCTTCTTTGTAGTAAGCCTCTGGTATTTATTCTTTTTATATAGAGTATGTAGCCAACAATTTGATTGTCAACATATCTGTTTGGAGCACTTTGTGTCGTATTTCTATTCTTATTTGGTTGTCTATTGATATCTTGATCTTTTGGAGATCAATAACATCGCTTCCTTTCTTCCCAAACTATAGGAGTAGGTCCAATCTGCTTCTCTATCCCATGAGCTGAGACTAATGTAAGCCAATAGAAAAATATTGAGCAGGGTAACCCATTGTCCTCTTTAAAAACTAATGCTGGATTGTTGCATTGCCCCCTCATCAATCACTGTACCCCAAAGTGAGGAGTTATAACTAGCAGCTGTGCGCTTTTTCCAGTTTGGAATGTGAAGCTTGCATTATGTAGTAAAGGCATATAAAGAAATAATCACAGTAGTCGTTTGCATTCATATTAAAGCCCTGCCTCTTGATAAAACCTGTGATTCGCTGCCATAGAATATCAGAGGAGCAGTTGGAATATGCTGAGCGATTTCAGCCAGTCAATTGGCTCTGACCCTGTTAACAGGGAAAAATGAGAATTTCACCTGAGCTGCAGTTTTACTCTGAACAGGACGGGAGGAGTTGTGGTCATAGAGCTTGATGGTGTCAAGCATTATTTTACTATTTTAATTTGACAAAATGTAAGGATACCTAATCACCAAAAGAATATGACCTTCCAATTTATTTGAAAACTTACTTCAAAGGAATTGGGTGTACTCTGCTACTGTACTTTATGGGCATTGATGGCCCAGTAAAAAAAAGGGGGGGTGAGGGGGCATTGTTTTATCCCTATCACAAGAATTTTTCTTTTTAAAGGACCACTCTAGGCACCCAGACCACTTCAGCTTAATGAAGTGGTCTGGGCGCCAGGTCCAGCTAGGGTTAACCCATTTTTTCATAAACATAGCAGTTTCAGAGACACTAGAGGCGCTTGCGTGCTTTTCACAGTGAGAGCACGCCAGCGTCCATATGAATGCTTTCCTATGTGACCGGCTGAATGCGCGCAGCTCCTGCTGCGCGTGCGCATTCAGCCGACTGGGAGGAGAAGAGGAGGATCGGAAGAGAAGAGCTCTCCGCCCAGCGCTCGAAAAAGGTAAGTTTTAACCCCTTTCCCCTTTCCAGAGCCAGGCGGGAGGGGGTCCCTGAGGGTGGGGGCACCCTCAGGGCACTATAGTGCCAGTAAAACGAGTATGTTTTCCTGGCACTATAGTGGTCCTTTAAGCAACTCAAATATTAACAAATGGGATATATTTGTGTGTGGACAACTGACTTGACAACTCATTTGTCATAGCAAAGCGCTGGACTAACTTGTTAATTTTGGAGCCTAGAAAAAATATAATGTGCATTGTTGAGGAAAATGGGATTCTGAAAAAAAATCATGCATTCCTATTTTAAGTTATAAAAACTCTGTATGAATGAACCACCATGGCAGGAGTAAAATTAATTTTGAGTGAATTAAAACACAATAATCACCATGACTATTGGCTGCCATAACATGAACTTCTGAGACACTCAATTGGCTATTTAACACACAAGCCCAAGTATTCTGTGTAAACTTCTCTGGGAATGACAAAAATGGACAAGTATGCTGCATACAGCATGCATTGCTTCCAAAAGTGGTGGACTTTGCCACGGCATCAGAACGGCAGGCAAGGGAGTGGCGTGATGACTGGTGGTGGGGATTTAAAGATCTCCCTCACTAGCCAGCCCACTCTACTCTCCATGCCCCTACTCAATCTAACCCACTTGCCCTGATCTATTGTATCAGGCATTGTCACTGGTTATTATGGCAGTGCTCTGATACAAATCTCGGGACTGCCGAAAAGCGGTGTCTGCAACTACAGGGGGTGCAGACTGCAACATTTCCCGCCTACCACCAGCTATCAAGGAGGGGGAAAATACACTTCAGTCTTTTTTTTTTTTTTGCTTCCCCCAATACAGCCCCTCAGCCTTTATCACCATCTACCCCTATACCACACTAGTCACTACCCCAACTATTATGACCACTATAGCCATTATCCCCCTACTACAGTACTATTCTGCACTCACCACTGCCTCTGTCCCTCACTACAGCTCCTATACCTTAACTATTGCCACTATTCCCCCAATGTAGTCGCTACCCCATCATTGTAGCCGCTATCCACCTCCCACTTTAGCCATTGTCTCCACTATATCACCTATCCCCACTACTGCAGCTGTCGCTCACTACAGTCCCTATCCACCTCTACAGCTTCCAGCCCCCTGCTGTAGATCCCGTCCCTCCTAGTATTTACACTATCAACACACTGGTAGATTTCCCCCCCTCAACAAACATAAGAGCTCTTCTGCACATTCACAATGCAATCATTATTCCCCTCTCCTTACTTCTTACAATACAGCCAAAATATCCCTACATAAGTTCTGCTGCCCAAGTTTTATTCCCAAACACATTATACCCCATATGTATCCTACTGAACTTATCCCCCATATTCCTTCCAGCACATTCATGCTCCATAACCTACACACTACAGCCATACACATAAAACGCACAGACACTTCCCCACAACAGCCTCACCCCCACACGTGCAACCTTAAAAGTATTATTCCCTCCACAGCCCCACAAGCAGTATCTACTGAAAACAGCAACACCAGAACTAGCCTTCCCTCACAAATGCAATACATAAAGCAGATTCCCCACAAAGGTGCAACTTCACAAGCAGCACTTGTACACACACCCTCTTCCAGCATTTATCATCTAAAATCCATTCAATTATACTCAGGATAGTCATGTGTGTATATTTGTTTGAGGAAACTGGCCTTGGGGCAGCATTGCTAACCCATGGTATGTAGCATGGAATTGGTTATTACCTGTATTTTTCAGTGTAGCAGACGCCACCCATGTATAAGACAACCCCTATTTTTTTTTTTTTTGAGCCCAAAATTAAGAAAAAATATTTTAGAGGTGACTTCTTAGGAGAACACACTTCTGATTCTTATGACTCCACTCTGCTACGGTTCTCTGTAAAGTTAATGGCTCTATAGTGCATGCTGGGAGACAACTCCCACAATACAGCAGTTGGTGTGATGGCATGGTGGGACATCACAGTAGTATCCCCATTTCCTCCCTCATTAATATAAATCAGAAAGCAAGGCCTACCTTAGGTGGAGCAAACCTTAATATGGATGCTCCTTTTATGGTGTGGCATGTCCCTGGTGCTCAGTTTGTGGTAAGTGCTGATGTCTGCTGCAGCTCTGATGCATATAGGGATCTCTTCCTACTTGCCACAGCGTTCAGAAATGGATCGGCGGAAGGGAGGCCAGGTATGTGTGTGGCACACTGAAGTGCAACAGGCATAATCTTGGCTTCGGCCCCACGCACAAGTTTTTATTTATTTTTATTTATTTTTTAAACCCCTGCAGTGACATTCCATGGTGAAGACGACCTCCAATTTTAGACTAAATTTTGTTTGAAAAAGTCGTATACATAGAAAAATACAGTACATTCAATCCTTGAGATTGTAAGGTCAATGCTCAGAAATGCTCATTGTGAAGTCTATAGAAAATTAGTAAAATGCCATTCAACACTTCTGACCCAAGTAGCATCTACTCAATGAGGTTGTCTAACTAGAAACACTGTTCTTATGACATGACAGTCAGACAGGACAGCAAAGATTTTGCAATCATTTCCAATCATTTCCAAACATCCATCAGATGTTTGAGGAGTGTACATAACAGAGGTATGGCTTTTAGACAATGAACAATATCGTTCCACTCTGTATGATTAACCATGAGTGTCGGATCTATTGAGTGTTACATGCTTTTAGCATCACAGTGCGGATAGGTTCAAACTTGATTGACCCTGTTTAGAGGCAAAAGGTTTGAATTAATCTGTCATCACTGGTAAGAACAAACCGTACTTAATGTGCCATTAAACTTAAACAAAAAATGTAAAATTACATACATTTGCATCTTTAAAGGTGCACTTTGAATAGTGAAGAAAAAAGGAAAACCAGAAAGTCCACAAACACACGGTACACTTCTGGTCTAGCCTTAAAAAGCATATAAGCAGGTTTTTCCCCGGCTGACCGGCCACAAGGGTTGCACAGAGCGCATTTTAGTGGGGATGCGGGGTGCCTGTTCTGCGACAGTTGTATGTGGATTTGCAAGCAGGTTCTGTACTGCTGCTGGAGGTGGGATATGACGTCACACCAGCAACAGTATAGAGCAGAAAGGATACAGGAAGTCCGTATGAAGACTGATCCTAGAAATAAACCACTGGACCCCAGGGATGAGAGGTTTCATTCCAGTTCCCTTTCAAGGTAAAGAAATATAGATATTTTTATTTTCTCACCCCTCCTGGGTGCTATAGACCTCTTGGTCTGGCATTCTGAGGGGTTTGCATGGTATCTCTGTTCCTAGAATTGCATTTTTCTGGACAGTGATCTTGGATGTCTCACTGGGAATCTGTTGAAGCCACTCTCAGGACTGCCATAACATGGGGGTGCTCTTATCACAAATGGAACTACAACAGCCTTTTGTAGCAGTAGTTTGTGGCTGTGTATATATGATTGTAAGGTATGTAAATATGAATGTGTAGTATATAAATGTATGTGTGCATAATATAACAAAAATGCGTTGGCAGTGTAGAATGAGTCTAAAAGTCTCCTTTCTTCCAGGTTCAAGTGGAAGTGAAATGCTTCTCTATGAGAAGCATTTTATTGGGTTGAGCAAAGAATTGATAAGAGAAGGGTTGCCACTGGATAAAAAGGTAATAGAACAATTTTTTTTCTGTTTATTTATGGGGGAAGATTTCTAACATTTGGAGGGTTAAAGGTTAATTCAAAAGTTCTAACTGAATATCAGTATTTTTACATTGAAGTGTTCCTTTAAACACACATTTATACTGAACTTTTCTCTGACCTTAGATTTTATACTTTCTAACACTGCCAAATCCTGTGAGGACCTATTTCTAAGTTGCCTTTTCCAAATCTCCAGGCTCATTTAAAGGACCTTTGGTGCAAAACTTGACATCTATGACTTTTTTTTATTTTTTATTTTATTTTTTACTGCATTTAAAAGCAATAGATAAATGTTTTTTTTTTTAAAGAATCAACAAATTATTAGTAAAATGTTATGACAGTCTTGTGATATTTTATGTCAAGGTAAGGTTGGCTGGTGTAGATATAGACCAGGACATAACAAACCACAATCTGCTTAGTTTCATCTTCAATTACATAAAAAAAAAAGTTCAGCTAAAAAAAGTGTTCTGAACTGGGGGCTCCATTCTCTTTGTAGCACTGTTATTTACTTGTCCCTGTCCCATGTCGGTCTCATTCTGTTCTTGTCTGTCTGTCCTACATCCGTTTCTTTTCTGGGACATTTGGAGTAAAACAAATAAGTGCATACCCCCTTAGGCAAAATGTTTGAATTTTTAGGACAGAAATTGGCAGCTGTGTTTGCCACACAGCAGTAAAATGAACCTATCCAGTTCCTCAAAGCGTTTTATTTGGAAAGTATTTTAAAGAGCTGTGTAAGGTTTTACTAGCAACTATTTAACACTGTAAACGTGCTGTCATAAAGGGGTTATTTCAGGTTACAATTGGCTTTCCCTCCTATTTCCTGATATTCCCAAAGCCACATATTGTATGGGATTTAATAGAACAATATGTAGTTTAACTTTTTAAAGGGATAGTTGGCAAAATATGTAAAAAGAACATTTAAGTTACAGGGTTATTTATTCAGGGTTATTGAATTCCAAACTTTAGACCAGGGTAGCTGAACTGTAATCCTAGCTGAGAATATATGCAATTTGGCTGTTTTAGTCTTAATTTGAAATTCACTTAGAACCTCCCTTTGGATTCTCGTTTTAGTGAATAACCTTGTTTACAGAAAATACCTTTTGTATTTAAGAAAAATGGCAAAACAGGGTTAAAAAAAAAAAAAATCTTATTGTTTATAATCCAAGATATTGAAACTGTAAATTATTAGTTGGACAAACTTTTTTTTTTTTTTTGTTCATTTACATAGATATATGATTTTTTTTATTCTCATCGATAAATATAGACCTATCATAACTGCACAATTATTGTAAATTCGGATAGATATTTACCCCAAGTTTCCCCTTCCCAATTTTTTATTATTCCTTTAATTGTCATTTGTGTTTTATTATAGTAAATACCTAATAATAACTATTTGGAAGAAAAAAAGAAAAATGCAGTTACCATACATTGTTTAAAGCTTGTAAAGTTTTTGTAAGCTTTCCCAAAAAGTTTTGTGTGTGTGTGTGTGTCAGTCAATAGGGATCGACCGATATTTATTTTTTAGAGCCGATACCGATAATCTGTGAACATTCAGGCCGATAGCCAATAACTTACCGATATTCTGTACATTTACCATTTAAAACAAGCTATTTTTAAAGGTAAATGCACAAAAAAATAAAATAAAAACCATTTTAAGTACTGGAAGAGAAATATTCCTGTAGAAACTATTTTCTTTTTCTCTCAAATGAATCTTGTTATGAAGGGAATGGGCTTTATCTTATGTTTTGGTAAGCTTGACAAAATCTTATAATTTTGTTTTATTTTGTTGACTTCAACAAAAACAATGTTTGGCAGCATAACCTTTTTTCACTCAAAGAGTTAACCACTTGCACATAGTGAGAGAAGGGCTAGGCATGGAATAAGGTAACACCCTATGGGGTTTCTGTCTGCCAAAGAAAAGCCTGTTTATTCTATGTTTTAATGCCTGGGCTTGACCTCTGACATTGCAGTCATTGTGTAGCCAGGTGCAGGTTTCAGTAAGGTTCACGCACTGTTAACTCTATAGCTGCCAATCATGCCTACAATAACATGTAACAGATTTTAAAACAAAGTTATTTTCTTACATTTTTACTACATTTTAATGCATGCTCCTTACTAGATGTCTAAATATTTCTTTATTTTACTAAATTAGCTTTTTCCTTTTTAGATGGATAGTTTTGTGTATAAATGTTTTTTTTAATGTGGGATAAAATACACATACATAATCACACACACAAACTATAGTATACACTGTCTGAACAGATACTCTGCTCTACATAAGCCACTCATACAAACCCCATAATTATCATGTGTTTCGATTGGAGACCCATTTCCCATGGTTCCACACTCTCCTAACTTTATTCCATAACATAACTCGAGTCCACAAAGTTCCACATTCCACATGTCATATAATGTCTATTTGTACTCTTGATCCACGAGTAGCTGCACTAAACTGTAGTGGTCACACTGATTACCAGAGAATGAATGGAATAGCGTACTGGACTACAGAATGGAGTGGGAAAAATATAATTATTTTTTAACGTTTACTAGATTACAATGTTTTGGGCTATTGCTCCCTTGGCATTAACCTATTAAATCATAGCATGCTCTTCCAGCTGTTTGAAATTAGTCACTCACCTCCTCATTCCCTTAGCATGTTACCAGTTACTGCAATTATGCTATTAATTCTGTCTGCCATTACCTCCAAATTCCACTGCTACTTCTAGTCTCCTCTGCCCACTTTCACCTTAGATTGAAGCTCACGGGCAGGGCCCTATATCTTTTTGTATTGGTCTGTTTACATTGTATTGTCTCTTTCACAATTGTACAGTGCTGTGGAATATGTTGGCATTTTATAAATGCCAGTAATATGTCCCTCTTTATGCGGTCTCCTTCCAGTGCAGAGAGTTGCCATGCAACTCTGTGTAAAAATTAGTATTTGAAACGAAATTGCCATGTAAAGCCATAACATCAGCACAGTGCAGGTGGGGTAATCTATAGTAACCTCTACCACTTGTACTACATAATGTGTGCCACTACCACAGTACCATCTTGCTTCACCCTGCGTTTTCTTCCAGCTCTTTCATTAGGGGAGTTCACTGATGGTGCAAATAACACACATAAATTTTTATTCACATACATTCTATACATTGGTTTGTATAGAATACTCATATAATCTTTATATATAGCTCTACAAAAAACTAATAGACAGCAAAAAATACTTAACTTTTATGAGCTGTAGCTTCCCAGGTGGTCCCAAATCACTTTTTTTTTTTTTTTAATATATCTTTGATATAATCTTCTGTATATTAAAGATAATAAACCCTGCTTTCTATATTAGACATGTGTCCTGCTCTATACAGATACCGACTTACCGACCAGGTTCCGTTCTTACGACCCGGTTGTAAAACTAATTGGTTTATGTTTCGGGAAATTTTCCCGAACATAGATTAGACTGATTCCCTGCTCTGCTGCGCTTGTCTTTGTATGGAAAAATGAACCCAAACGTACATATACGCACCAGAGCAGGGAATCCCTCTAATCTATGTTCAGGGTAAATTCCCCGAACATAGATCAGCTCTCTAACGTAGGGAATCCCTTGAAATCCCCACGCTAGAGCTGATCGTGAGTGCAAACAGGTAGGTCGTAAAGAGAGGACCACATGTGTACTATAAATACGGCTTTTCTTCTAATGCAGATAGGAGTGCTGCTCTGTGCTTCATATGCTTAAGCACTCATTCTCTAATAACTATATCAGAGAGGTTGATTGATATTTTTTAATATTTATTTCCAAGGTAATGTACAGTTTATAATGGATAATGCAGTCACTGTTTGTCTGTGAAAAACCCTTATTGTCAGCATTCTTATCAAATGGATGCGGAATACTTCTTGACAGATACATACACATTAACCGTTGAAATTGAATATCTGCCACATATGGCATGTATTATACGTGGATGATGATCAATAAAGTATTGTGTGCACAATCGAATAGAAAGCTTACAGTATCTCTGGCTAATCCCCTAATGCATAGGTGTCCATGCAATAAGGATAGGATGTCACAAGCATTCAGTGAAGAAGCAGGTTACCATGGACAATGAAATGGAATTGAGAATAATTCACTTATCGATCTTTCATTCACCAAATTGGTCTGTAGGTAACATTTAGGAATGTTCCACAGAAAATACCTCTAGACATTTATTTACGTGAAATTGGCATGGGAGCTGGCACACACAGGCAATTATGCCCAAGTGCTGTCCTATCTGTGGTAATACATAAGCCTACCCAGGATAGGTCTCAAAATCAACACAGTTGGTAGGTTTGACCTTGCAGTGAAGCCATTTAATTTTCATTGCGGATTCAAGGAACAATGTGTTTAAAGGGACAATATAGTCACCAGAACTTATTGTATTTGTTCTGCTGAGTAGAATCATTAATTTCAGGCTTTTTGCAGTAAACACTGTCCTTTTAGGAGAAAATGCAGTGTTTACATTACTGCTTAGGGATACCTCCACTGGCTACTCCTCAGATGGCTGGTAGACGTGCTTCCCGGGGCAGTTCTGCACCCTCTGCATGGAGACACTGAACTTTTCTCATAGAGATGCATTGATTCAATTGATCTATGATGAGATGCTGATTGGCCAGGGCTGTGCTTGGCTTGTGCTGGCTCGGTCCCTAAATATAGTAAAAATCTTACTTGTATTCAAGTCTGAAGGTGCTCACTCTGCCTATGAACTGCCTTTGTCTGCTGACATCAGAAGTGGTGGCCTGATCCAATCACAATGCTTCTCCATAGGATTGGCTGAGACTGACAAATAGGCAGATCAGGGACAGAGATTAAAACACAGCCCTGGCCAATCCGCATCTCCTCATAGAGATGAATTGAATCAATGAATCTCAACGAGAAAAGTTCTGTGTCTGCATGCAGTGGGAGGAGATACTGAATGGCAGTGCTGCTTACTCTGCCCCAGGAAACCTATCTAGCAGCTATCTGTGGAGTGGCCAGTGGAGTTATCACTAGGCTATAATTTAATGTAATGTCTCTGAAAAGACAGTGTTTATTGCAAAAAGCCTGAAAGGAATGATCCTACTCACCAGAACAAATGTAATAAGCTGTAGTTGTTCTGGTGACTATATTGTCCCTTTAACAAAATCCTGTTGGTTTGTGAAGAAAAAATTTAAATCCGAATAACGAATTAATTTTTTTTCCAAACTTTGTGCCCTAATGGTTTGCTTTTATGAATCTTAAAATGCCTATTTTGGCTAAGAATTTTGAATGGAACCTTGTTTTTCTTTTCAGCAGTGAAAGCAAAGTATATTGACAGAACTGTAAAAAAGAAATACAAAATTCAAAAAAGGCAGGAATAGCATGACTTCCGGAGAGCTTCCTCACCTCTTCATACCTGTCCCTCAGGGAATATTAAAAGAATCATAAACGATAGCCGTGTAATCCAAGGTTTACAGCTTATTAAAAGGATGTTCCAGCCTGAATTTTATGGTCCACTTTGACAAGTCTGGTGTATTTCAAACATATTTCCTATAGTGGAGCAAAATATATGTAAAGGTGCAAAATTCTGCAGAAAAATAAATTCATGCTCTGCTTATTAGTTCACCATGTTGATTATGCTTTCAAGTCCCATATTGCATAGTAGTGATATCATCCATGCAAAAAGTTTGATAAAAGTCGGTATGGCAGAAACCTTATTTATGACACCATAAAGGATCACTTGGAGAATTTAGCTGGATATTTCTTTTCATTATTTACTGACTGTGGGTAGATCCGGTATCCATGCATGATTTGAGGTGGGCATAGTCCTAATTGTATTATGATTATAGATGTATAAAACCAAAACCTGCATTACTTAAAATAAAAGTGGAAAGCAAAGTTTCTAATCTCAAAGTTGTATTCAGCTTCCCACAGATCACCTCCCAGATGGTGGTCTTGTATAGATATAACAATATACAAACGAGAACACTTGTGATACAGCTGATACGTTCCTAAGAACAAATTAATAAACAGAACATAGTCAGGGGCGTCTTAAAGGGGAGCAAACTGGGCAGCTGCCCCGGGCCCAGTTACTTATGGGCCCCCCCTGCTGGCATCCAAACCCTATGGGCTGCGGCACATGATGTAATCAGGGACACCTGGCCCTTTAAGAGTGCTCCAAACTGGGCCCCTTTTTAATGTCTGCTGGGAAGAAGTGAGGTGAGATCACTTCCTCCCAAGTAACAGTGCTGATGGGGAGGTGCAGGAGGAGGAGAGGGACTGATGATGTCAGACTCCCATCAGCCTTGGCCATCCAGCTCCCACTGAAACCCAGTGAAGTCACCCTTCTGTACCCAAAAGGTAAGGAGACGGGGGTGGCTAAAATTATATTGATGGGTGTGTGTGTGTACCTGGGTCTGAGTCAGTGCATCTGGCTATATGTGTGTTTATCTTGCTCTGGCTGTGGTGTGTTAATTGTGCTGTGTGTATTTGTGTGTGTGTCTGGCTGTGTGTCCGTGTTTATCTGGCTATATGTGTGTTTATCTTGCTCTGGCTGTGGTGTGTTAATTGTGCTGTGTGTATTTGTGTGTGTGTCTGGCTGTGTGTCCGTGTTTATCTGGCTATATGTGTCTATCTGTGTGTTTGTGTGTGTACTTGTTTGTCAATGTGTGTTTCTGAGCGAGTGTGTGTGTGTGTGTATATATATATATTTTTTATATATATATATATATATATATATATATATATATATATATAATATGTGTAAGTGTGTATGCGTGTGGCAATGCATTCATCCCAGCATTCCAATGCCACCACTGCACACACATACACGAACACTGCATAGATATACACCCCTGCATTCTAACACTGCACACAAATACACTCATGCGTTCCAACATTGCACACAAATACACCACTGCATATGTGTCTGTGTTCGTGTTTGTGTCGTCCGTGTTTGTGTATGTGGCAATGCATACATCCCAGCATTGCAACGCCAACACTGCCCCTGCATGTGTATCTGAGTGTGTACATATGTCAGTGTATCTGTGTGTGGATGTGCCAGTGTGCATCTGTGTGTGTGTGCGCACCAGTGTCTGTATCAAAGTTTGTGTATCTGCGTGTCAATGTTTAGTGTATATCTGTGTTAGTATGTATGTGCATACATCCAGGCAATTAAACACACCGCTGCAAACACAATCATTATATACAAACACACCCCTGAATTCAAACTCCAAAACTGTATACAAACATGCCCTTCACTCACACAAATATTACACACAAATGTACATCTGCATTTAAGACACTACATACAAACACACCCCTGTATGCAATTACAAATGTTGCATACAAACACACCCCTATATTAAAAAGCTAAAATGATATACAAACACCAACTCTACACACAAAAGCACACCTGCATTTAAAAGTCAATACTACATACAAACGCAAAAACACTACACACGTACACCACTGAATTCCAATGGTAACAGTACATACCAATACCCCTACATGCACACACACACACACACTCTCTATACAAAAACATGCTTACATTCAAATTCTCAAATACAACCCAACAAGAATGGCCAAATGGTAGATCTCCAGCTGGCATAGCATTGTGGGAATTGTATGACCGATGGGTATCATCTTTTCTCCACTCTTGCGCTAGAGGGGAGACGCAAAAATAAGTCTACATTAGTTCCACCACTGATTGCTTGCCAGGGAGCTGGGGGTTGGGAGTGGGGGAATTAGAGCAGGTTCCAAGGGGGGCCCAAGCAAATACTTGCCCAGGGTCCAATCGATATTAAAGATGGCCCTGAACATAGTGTAATATAGTTTAAAACAACAATCACACAATTTTATGTAACACTCACAAATGTGTATTTTTTTTTTAAAGAGCTTCTAAGGTGCCCTCCCCAATGGTAATGGGGGGGGCTGTAGCCTTCCAACGATCACTGCTCTCAACCATGTTCAGACAGAAGCTTGAAAGACCTGGTAGGGTCAAAACGTTGCTGCTCTTGCCCCAATAAATCCTGCTAACCGTTTATATGATATGCTTTCCTGAAGTGTTTTCAAAGATTTGTTTTTGAAAGGGTGGAGACTGGGTGAAAGTCTAACTGAGAAGTAACCGGGTGTTCCACAGAAAAGGTGCAACCCTTGAGAAGTGTTGGAGGGGAGCATCAGATGTGGGAGTATGGACAGTGGATAGGCGTAGGTCTTCGGCAGAGTGCAGGGGCCTCGACGGGACATATTTGTGTATTGGGGAGGATAGGTATACATCTAATAAGTGCGGATACAACCGCCAAATGCTCTATGGAAGAAGTAGGTTTTCATATATCTCATATATTTTTGGACCGTGTTATGTATACCGGATTTCTTTTTTTGTTGTTGCTATTTTTGTCATAACCATGATGTTTTATATTGGTATTTGGCTTTCTCCACTATTTAATCTGAACCTGTTGAAAAGATTGTGAGGCAAAGGGATGCTATATACTCTCTAGCTAGGTATACTATATATAAATTGTTCTGTTCATTTTTTTTCTCCTTAAGAATATTGGTGAGGTCAAAGGGCTAGTGTGCCAACTCAGCATTTCATCCAAAAAAGGATAAAATAACCGTTTCTTTTTCAGAATTGGCTATACTAGAGGTTGAGGCAATATGGAGCCTTCAATTTTGATTAAACTCACAGGAATTAATTGGGTTTTCAAGCATGGAATAGCCCCTGAATGGCCACATTCTGGGAATTCAACTAGCTAGTTCAGAGATAATTAATTTGGCCTCTGGCTCTATGAATTGCTCGAAGGAATCACAAAAGTAATCAATAAATAAAACCAAGAGTCCCCAGGTTCCTCCAATAACTGCAAAAATGTAAAGACTGGCTCTCTCCTCTTACATAAGCAGGTCCCTCCTGATTTATGTCAGGTCCAATAGAGCCAAACATTAAGTAATCTCACATCTAACCACATAGGGATAGGAACTGGTAGTAAGATTCAGATTAGATTTGTACATATGTTAATGCTGAAATTCTGTGTTTGATAAATTCCATGAATCCACTTCCTTGTGTGCACACAATAGGTCTGATAATGGGAGAGGTTCATCAAGGCAAAATTCATGCTATGGGGCAAAATACCAAATAATATTCCAATTGCCATGGAATCAACGTATATCTGTTTTTTTTTAACTTTTTTGGAAAAGAGTTTACGAGAGCAAAATGTTTGCTATTTTGGTTAGAGCATGCTAAATGTTGAGGGAATTTCTACTGGTCCTTAATTAGCATTTTGTCCTAGTGTACCATCGGTTTTTGACTTTATAAATGTCTACCTTTATACTGGTATAACACATGTGTATGTCTTGATAAATCTTCACCAATACCAATAAAGAATTGTTCCTCACTGAATTAAGTCTATACCGGTAAAGAGCATGTAAATCCTTCTGCAAAGAACGAATACTTCACCATTGCTTCCAGGCTATTAATGCAGTACTTTTCAGTCACATTTATGGAGATTTTTGGGCTGGGTTATCGTAACATAGACAGTCACATTCAGTTAGAGATTTCTGCATAACTTTGCAGATAGAATATGGGGAAGAGCAAACACGAGACTGGGGAGAACTTTTTTTTTTTTTTTTTTTTTTTCACATAAATCCCCAACCCTACACAGCCCATCCAAAGTAATTGATTCTGCTGCTGGTGATAATAGAGAAAACTTATGTTAATAAAAATGTTAAGAGTAACATCTGTCATCTAAATATTTTGTCTTTCAGGCAACATGGCGGCTTCATTTTGGTGAAACTAAACACTTATGATCAAAATAAATTGCCTGAGGTGAGATGAGGTCTGTATGCATAGGTCTGGATTTGGGGGATTATACCTTACTCTGATTCCAATTAAGAAAATACCAGTTATTCAGCTTCTTGACATGAGGATTAAATGCTATTTGAAGGGTCACTGGGGATAAACATACATATCGTTTTGTAAAACCCCACTAGTTTAGCTTCCCAGATGTCTTTTCAGATTACTCAAGATTCTCAAATATTTCTCCAACTGAATTTTAAACTGAATGTCGGGAGTGACAATCTGCTGTATGATGTAGAAGATGTACTAAGGTTTAAAAATGTGGGGAAGCTTATTTTATATAAGCGAGAGAAAACCCAGTCTATTCTTATTTCATACATGCACAAAGATGCTTAAAATCTCTTACTGTGTTGTGTCCCTGCAGAAATTTATTGGAAACTGAAGTCAGGGTTCCTTTTACACAATTTATATGTGGGTTTAATGTTCATCTCGAAATGTTCCAGATTCTCCAATTTTTTTGTTATTTAAAATGGATATCATAAAAATCTAGATTTCCCTCTGTAACCTCTATATTTTTTTCAGAATGTGATTAAATTTTTTTGTAGCTGTTCCAAAAAATGGTAAATAGTGCACGCTAAAGTTATTTATGTAGAGCTTCTCAGAGGAATTTATGTACAAATTGGTTGGTGGGAATTGACTTGGGTTGATATGGACTCGTAAAAAGGGGCGTTGAAAAAATTTGCAAATGAAATGCAAGCAATTGGTTGGAGAACACATCACAACTCACTGTTTAGTGAATACATTCCTGAGTGTCTATAGCGCTACATAAATTGGAATACTGGTTAATGCACCCAAGAACAAGTCTCTTCAATCTCATCCAATCTGGATGGTATTGATAGGCTTAGAGCTGTGGATGAGCTAGCACATTTAAAAAAAATCTCTAATGTATAGGTCTAATTTTTTTCAGACTTGCGTTATACATAATATTTGCACACATTTCTCAGATATGAAAAACAGAAAAGGATTCTTGCATGCATAAAATAAACTTGAAGAGTCAGTAAAAGTTATCTGGCAGGACAGGTATAAGACCCATGCATGGGAGGAGATAGTAGAGCTCTGGATTTTGAACTGGTAGCACATTTTTGGCACTTTTGGCCTTATTTCAAGCTTCCCTCATCTTTCCTGTCTCCCCAATCAGGTTTCCAGCTTTTTTTTTTTTTGTATAATCGCCTTTATTATATTTGACCAGCCTTTTCCTCCATCTTCCAGTCTTTCCCTAAATATCCCTTTAATCAAGAATATTGATTCATCAATTGCAACATTAACAGCACTAGACCTAGTTAAAAAAAAATTATTACAAAAAAATATAAAATGTATCCAGATAACATTACCAAATTGATAATCTTATGGTGGGCAATGTATTGATTGTTGCATCTTCTATTCCTTGATAGTACGTCATCAAATATACCATTCCTTAAAGAGTTTTATATCTTGTATTGGACAATAAATGTTATGAACTGTCCCTCCAACAACACCTCCATTAATAGACCAATTAAAATACCACTGGAATGTATGGGAAGCAATAAAAAGGCAGTCACTCAAGACCTATAATTGACTGGTCTTATTAGATTTTTATAGATGTTATACACCTTTAATGTTTTAATATACAATCACTAATATTGTAATGCTATGTGTGATTGTGTTTTTTTTTTTCTACTTAAAATGTGGAACATTTTTCAAATATTGCTATAATAATCCTTTGATTAGAGACCACATTTTCTCTATGGAAAAATTAAATCCATTAGCTACTATAGGTTCCAGCCCCTATGCATCTTGCTACATTAAGCTTCTTAAAATAGTTTCTGAATTCTTATTTAACCCCTTAAGGACCAAACTTCTGGAATAAAAGGGAATCATGACATGTTACACATGTCATATGTCCTTAAGGGGTTAATCTTCGATGGCTGTATGCAGCTGTTAAATAATCTATGGTAGATTTATGCATTCGGGTCCAAACAATTTGTGATTAGTCCAAATTTTTGGCATCAATTTATTTGTCTGAAATCCTGAACGTCTAAACCCTATTTGGCAAATCACCACACAAAGAAAACAGGCAATGGACGAAACCGCTTTATTTGGAGTTCCATCTGTGGTACAAAAAATATGATCTACTGTAAATGGCAAGAGTGAATCAATGTGTAAAGGAGGAATAACCCAAGTCTAAAATAGGTAAAAAGAAATGGTTGGGTAAGATCTCACCAAATTTGGGCAACAATGGCTGGTTAATCAGGATTCAGTTACCCATACCTCTATAAAATAAAACATTTATAAAAAAAAAATGCATAACTATTAAAAGAGGATTTGTTCACTAAACAGGAAAGTGTTGAAAAATTAAACCCTGTTAACTAAGCAGAATTATATTTCCAATTCTACTATTACCAGCTTATTTTATCCCCTAGATTCAGCAGACGGCATGCCAGTATTTAATGATGAGTATTATCTTCTAACCTGTTTTTGTAGATTTTGTCTCAATATGCCATAGTACCAGGCTTTGTAAGAGTTTTAGTGAAACCCACAGAGTGATGTCATGACATTAATTGCTTCCTTAATATAATGTGAATATTGGGCACAGAGCACAAATAAAATGCTTGTCTCTTTGAACAGTGTTCTTCTTAATAACTAACATTTTCTATCAGTAAATCCTACCCCAGCTGTGAGGGGAAAAGTGGGTCACTGCATGTGAGATTTTCTCTATGCAGCTCATCAGTTGAGGCTGATCATGAAGGGGTTACATTAATCCCCCATATTACAATGCTTTACATCCTTTCTGCATCCATTACCCCATCTGTGCTTAGTCGTTTTTGTAAGCGCTTTTTTTGTATGTTTTTTTGTTTTAGCTTATTTTTTTTATTTACATTTAAACTCCTTTGACACCCAGACAAAAAGAAGTGAAGATCCGTAATTGACAAATTTATTTTTGGTGTCTCAACATTTTTAACTAGAATTTGGATTTACTATAGCAACGTGATGAACGTGGTGGATACTTAAAATTAGAACAGGAATTACTGAAAATCTCCTTAAATGAACACTACAGGCACCATTAAAATCTCAAATTGCTTAACCCCTTAAGGTGAGTCAGTGCCAGGGATCTCCTGGCACCATAACTTCATATTGATTAATTTTTTAATGGCACCCAAACTGGTCCTTTAAGTAAGTTTGACTTTTGGTTCTGGCAATAACACAAACATGACAAATGTAATGTTCTCAAAATTGATAATATTGCTTGCAATGAAGGTCAAATAGCTAAGCCATTAGTGCTCTGGTATATTTAGTAACTGTTTAATATTTAGGATTAGATGTTGGAAAATATTTGTCCAAATTTTAGTAAACCTACTATTTTGCAACAATTATTTATATGCTGTATAAAATATATACAATTTTGACATGGTCAGATTCAAAGTGCCAAAAACATACTTTCTATTAGTTCCAGAACTGGCCTCTGTTGCTAATGAAGATCCGCCCCACTTTGCCCAGCATTTACCTCCTTTTAGTGCTGGTCATTGTCCAGTAAAATTCATCTTGGATATGTTGAGTGCAAATCTTTTGAGTGTAAATTTTTTTTGTAAAGTGTGTGTGTGTGTGTGTGTGTATATATGTGTGTATATATATATATATATATATACACCGTTCCCTTTATCAAACAATTCAATTTGGTTGGCCCTCTTTTTACAGAACTACCCGAACGTCTGTTCCCCTACACCACAACCGACTTATGCCGCTACTACTATAACTCTGCTTACTGTCCCAACCACAAATATATATGAGAAAACAGGGGGCTGGCTGCACTCACCTGAATATGCATAAGTAGGGTGCTGCTGGGAGCCAGTTTACACACACTTTCTCTCTCTGTTTTTAGGTCTCTGCTATTGCTAATCCTCATTTAAACAATCCTTGAACTAACAAACTATTGTGGACTTCATTTTTTTTCTCACTCATGCTCAGCATATTCTACATAAGCTGTTTAGCAAGTTGTATAATTTCACTTGACAGACTGCATTGGTAGTCGAAACGTTGCAGTGTTCCACATGTTCTAATAAAGGTGCCTGAAGACTCTGGAGTGCCTGGACCCTTTTTCTATTACTGGTATTTATCTTATAGGCTTGTGCTGTCCATTGGTTCAGCTAAGCATCCTGTCTGAATGGAGTGTGGTTCCTTTTACATCTTTTGCAATTTACCTATGTGGTTAATAAGTTCTAAGCTGATGTATCTGCTTAGTGACTCTTGTCTTTGAGCAACAAATGCTTCTTCCTTACTACTGAATTTGAAAGGGGGAACCAGTATGCATCATCATGTTCAGGGGGCATTCTCTGCTTACACACTCAGCGGGAGAATACATGAGGCACGTGTTCCTCCAATGTCCAAATGGAACCTCCAACCCTGATGTCTCTGCTTACATGCTACACTCCATAAGACTGCAAAATTGGCTATTGAATACCTTGGAGGGCTTAAAGGAATCCAAATCCTGTGCATGGAACCCACCTTCTGTCCCCTGTTGCACATTAGGCCGTAGTTTAAAAAAAAAAAAACCCTCTGCGTCCAATGTCCAAAAAAGTAAAGCTTTCTATTAGGACCTTAGAATAATTTATATATAATTCCTTAATGGAGATAAACCTCTACGAATGGGATTTCTAAAGTGAAAATGTTTTGAAGAGTCTCATGGCTCTCTTGCGATGTTGCCCAAATATCGGTTTATGTCCATATATGACTCATGTTTCTACAGTGTATTAGATTTTTAACCGTTTTATTCAGAATAGTACCCTATAAAACCAGTACCTCTAAGTACTGCTACTTCACATTTTATGTATGATTGCCATCCTATGGCTATAGAACATTACATTTTTAATTTTTTTTTTTTATTCTTGCTCTTCTGTCTGTTTGAAATATGAACTTATTATCAAGGTAACCATCCTTTTCATGGCCGTATCCCCTCTCCATGTCCTTCTCTCCCCTAAATGTACTATGTGGATTTCAGGGACACTCCATAATCCCTTTATTAAAAAATAAAAAGTCCTGTAGCTTCATTAGTGAATGAAATCCTTCCTTCCTTTGATATACTGTGGAGAGTAGTTTTCTGATGTTGCCGACACGCCGTACGAAAGCTTTCAATAATGAATTGATCTTATCACCCTGTCAGATGGGGGCCTGTGTGTTCAGCTCCAGTCTCTCCTCCATCCCTGATCCTCTTCCCTATTAATCCTGCACGCCCCTCTCAGAACATTATCTCCCTGCTTGCAGCGTGGAAGGCGGTTTTATCTCCCAAATGCAGTTCTGGATAATAATATATTCACTGGGAAAATGAGACGTGTGGAATTTTGAAGAGCGGTGGCTGGTTCATTAGAGTTGCAGGATTATGCCCTACAAAAAAGAACATGAATTAAAAAAAGAAAGCAAAACATTAACCCCGTTTACTGAAAGAGTGCCTTGAGACATTCTAGAGTTCTTGTGATTCATGTAATTAAGCTTTCCAGTGATCATTGTATCGGGCAAAGCAAGGATCTATTAAAAAATAAATAAAAAATAAATATTTTTGGATAATGTAGACCTTCTTGTTGGTTAAGGCACGATTTGTAAACCTATCAAATTTAGAGCTTGATATGCTTATTTCTTTCCCGTAAACAGTTTGCTGGGAACTCCTGCAGTGCAAGTATATAATGCCCGATTTAAATGTATTTTTTTTTAGGTAGGCACGCACATATGCTGGAGGCCACAGTGTGTTATAATATGACAGGATAAAATAAGCATCTAGTCTGCTTTTCCGCCTTTATTCTCACTAGTTCTTTTTTCATTTTTAAAATTTCAGTAATATACAGTTACAGCCTTGGTGTTCTTGGCTATCATTCAGAAGTTCCCGCTCAAGATATTTAATTCAACACCACAAAATGCATTTTCTACATCGAGTACATTTGTGGGACTTGACACGTGTCTTTATTTTCATATATGGTACATTTTGAGTATATACACTTTTTTTGTTTCCTGTATGTAAAAGCCTTCAATAATCATATACCCACACAAGCCTATCTTCCCTTGCTTTGGAAAAAAAATTAAGTAGCGATACCGAACTTTGTGAAAAATGATTGTCTGTAGAACAAATGTAGTGCAGATTTATTCACGTAATTAGAGCAAGGCATGCCCACCACGGTAAGTAGCAGTGACAAAATCATTTCAAACTAATCCTTGCCTCATGCATAAAAAGGAGGGGCAGGGGAGATAAATCAAAATACCAAACTGCATGCATTTTGCATTAAAAAAAATTACCCTACACAGTCAATAGTCAATCTTAAACTCTAGGATTATTGGTCTCAATAGGACTTTTCAGCATGCATAACTGTGCCAAAACTTTTCACATCCATGTTTTTATGACAAAGTTTTGGTCTAAATGTTTTAGCAGATTTTTTTTTTTTTTTTTTTTAACTCCAGATTGGTTACCAATGCAAAGTGTGAAAAGTAATTTGCTCAATAACAAAGCTATTGTATTTAATAAAATATTTAGAATTCTCTTAAATGACATACATATTTAATATTTCACAAGTAAGGCATAGGAACGTTAATCTATGTAAACTAATGGAAACCCTAATGCCTAGCCCATAACCCTAACTCTATCCTCCATTAAACCTTATCACTAATCCTAACCTAGACTTCTAATGCTTACATCTTCCATTAATCTTTGTAAGATGGAGGCTCAGATGTTGACACAAAAATGAATTTTTATTTATTTTTTTATCATCCTCATTGAAAGCCCCACTTATTCTATAAATATCAATTTAATGTATATTCAAAATGTGTTTAATTACAATTATATTTAATCTAGATGTAAAAGTAAGAAATACTGGGTAATTCCATTGTAACAACCAAGGTTTTTCTAAGACTCTAAGTTTATTAGTAAAATAGATTTCCACCATGCTTTGTGCTTACTTTCAGGGAGGCGGGTTTAACTTTATGCCGGAACTATTTCCACAACCAAACATCAGTGTGTAGTAATTGTGGCTAGTGTTGTCACCCAGTTTGTGTCAAACCTTTTCTTGCACAATGATGCTGAATATGGAGATATTTAAATGTCTTAAGAAGGAAGCACCTCTGGTGGCCATTTCTATGACAGCCACTGGAGACTTGTTTGATGCAAAATGGGTTAACTGCCATTTCTCAGAATTGGCAATGTTTTACATTGTCCAACATGCACCAAAATACTACATTGTACACAAGATGTTGTGTTTTTGGTGCTTTGTGTCCCTTTAAGGAAAAATAGAAATTTCTGAGTAAATTTTTAATTCCCATTTTTGATACACATTCAAAGACTGGCTGTTCATTAGAATTCTATTTCGAAACGCTTCACACTTGTGTTGATGCTACAGCAGCAGAAGATTTCCGGTGCAAATATTGTGATTCAAATTGAAACAATTGGTCTTTAAGGGCTCAATCAGTGCCTAGTACCATGAATCCTTCTTAGAAAATGTAAAGGTGGCCCTTATTCCCACAAGTCGGATAGCCTAGTAAGATTTGTCTACTTTATTGATGACCACTGCGTCTCCTAGATATAATGAAACAATTTAAGCATTGCACCATTGTCCGATAAAATAAAAACACATTATGTGACTAATGTGTTGCAATCCAAGAAAACCATTGCGCTCATCTGCTGACCGTTCAATTTAAAGACACAATAAACCTTATTAAATCAGATCTATTCATTAATTTTATGAATAAATGCGATTTTTGTTTTTCACAGAAATACTCCGTTAACTGGTCAGCGGGATAAATGGAACTGATCAGATAGTATTGAGCATTTAGAAAAGTGAAACACATTGTCTTTTCTCCAGGCACCCATGTCTCCAAACGTTGGACAACAGATGGTCAGTAGAACAATTATAAAATTATTTTGTATCTGAGGCAATGCTTTCAAAATGAGGGTATTTGTGCTATGCAGCATAAAAGATTGTATATACAACAGATTTAAAGTCAATTTATTAATGTATTGAAAATAGGACAAGGGGTGATTGGATAAAAGAGAAAAAGGAGCAAATTACAGAATGAATAACTGTATATTACAGGAAATAATGCCATTGAGTTTGAATTAGATTGTTGAACATCTCCAGAACTGTAAGATGGCATGGTTTTTCCATAATACATAACTTAGCATTGTGTATCTTTCAATTGATTATTTTAGGTCCATGACCGCTTAATTCAAAGGGAGCCCCTACATGTCTCATGATCTAATCATATGTGCTCTAATACCAGTCATGGTACATTGGTAGAAGACCTGTCAAACTCTAACTCCCCTGTCCCTCTATCAATTTCGAGTGAATGGCTGAAGTAATTTCTACAGCTGCTATCAAAGATTATAACTCCCACTAATCTAATGGCAATCAGCCATCATACAGTATGGGAAATTATACATACACACTTGTGTATTACTAAACTTCTTTCTTTGCAAACCTTGAATTTTGCTTTTCTAAGAAAAAAAATCTCCCCGATCCTCTAAAATTTTAGCACAAAGACCCTATTTACAAAGTCTTAAAATATACACTCCGGCTTCTGACATAGCAGGAGTGCTTCCCCTCCAACTTGATTTTTGGCATTCATGTATAACCCCAACTTTAAAAACTGAGCTGGGGGGGGGGGACGACTGCCTTGGCTGAGAATAAAAAAATATATATAAATAACTTTAAACCCTGCTGCATTAGTGCAAAGCTGACTTAGCAGTTTGGAAGACTGAAGCTCAACAATGAAGATCCTTCAATTGGGTTTTAAAGAACTATATAGCAAGGAATAAATAAAATCTAATGGCAAAATATGTATGTACTTTTTATTTTTTTATACACATTCTATAAAATCATAATGTGTACTGGCTGCTGAGTCATTGAAATTTAGTATTTCCTGACTTTATATTGTCCTAGATATTCAGTATGATGTTAGAATAACAGAGTATCATAATATGGGGCTTATTTACTAACCTGGAATTGAGGGGAACCAAGAGAAAAATTGCAAATCTGAGATCATAACACCCAAGATGTCGAACGAGCAGAAAGTCAAATTTTTACAAACTGACAAATTTATTTCTCAACAATTCCTAATTCTTATTTACAGTAGTCACTACTGTCTGCTTACAATAATGAACTATCACCTCCCAGGATTTTTAATATATTTACTTATATTTTACAAACTTGTATTTGTGAAGTGTAAAAAATAAAATTAAAATTAAATAAATTCACACCTTTTTATTCTGCCAACAGATGCATACATCCCATCACCTTGTCAATCATTGTTGTAGTCTTTTTGCTCTCTGCAACTTGCAGTCAGCAAAAAGAAAGCAGACTGAGAAGAAATTAAACAATTAGTGTTCTTTTAAGATCAAAGTAGAAAGCTATGCTCTCAGTTCAGCTGCTGTGGATTTAAATTTGAAATTCACTGTAAATTCGCAGTTTAATAAATAACCCTGGTTGTTTGTTTATATTTTTCCTCCTCATTTGCATTGTGTGCCTTGGCTGTGCCTAGATTAACTAGATTGTGATGGTATTTGCAAAAACGTTAATGTAAATGTCAACTAAAGTCTCAAGAAAAAAAAGTAACATAATTTAGAGGGAATCTTGAATGTTTTATTCAATTGTGTAATTCTATGAGAAATGACGGTTCCCATTTAAAGTACGATGCAACTGAATGTATGAGCCACTTCTGACTGATAAAACCATAAAATAAGACTGGCCCCGCACAGTCATTTGATTAGAGGTGTAAAAGTTTTTAGTGTGTCTAGCCACGGGAAAGAAATTCTGTCTATCTGTCTTTACATTTCTCAAACACTGTGACAATAGAAAAATACAAATACATTTAAACTGGCACTTGCCAAAACAAGAGCAACCTGTACTCTAACTGCATTTAACACATTCACTATTGAGATTTAAAAAAAAAAAAAAAAAACTTGCATCGGAAAAACATTTCAAGTGTTTGCTGTTCCGGGATACTTCAACAAAATGGCAAATTAGGTCAATTTAAGGCATTTTAAATTCATACTTTACAGAATTCGTTTTGGGGCTTACAGAACAGTAGCTGAGGAGAGGGATCTTTGAACGTTCTCTACTAGCATTCTGAGAAGCGGGAACAATCATAGACAAACCTGGAATAAATGTACAGGAGCCCTAAACCAGGACTTTTCTGCTGGTTGCATTACCCTAGACTGCATGCATTCTGGGGGCGCATCACTTTAGTTTAAAAATTAAAATGGAAATTTTGTACTAGTATTTTGCATGCACAGCTTTTCACAGTATAAAGTGACAATGATTGAATCATTTAATTTCGTTGGGGAAATGCAAATAAAGTCAAAACTATATCCTTTAAACAAATATAACTTTTTCATTTATAAAGAATGTTCTGTCTATCATGTGTGGTACCTTCAAAGCGATAGTATTACGTTTTCTCTATTTATTTATTTTTTAAAGAATTTATTTATTTTTTAATTTCACGTTCTTTAAACTAAATCTGGCTGTTGGCCAAGAGCAGACAGAGAAAGGCCTCTTTCTGTCTTCATAGAGACAAAAATAGCTGGAAATTACAGCAGAAACCACAATGTTCTTGTGCCAAGATTAACTGAACTTCATCGAAGTTAAATGTGGTATAAGTTAAAGCAGTAATTCCAGGCTGCTTTAGAATATGCATACCTTTTGATACGTGGGTGAGGGCAGGGCTCCTCTAAGCAGAGCATTTTTTCTTTACATCTCCTGGGATGCACTTCCTGTTCATTCTTGTAAATTTTACTGCCTTTTTGATTTCCCTGTAATCTTCCTGTACAGTCTTAAAATCTCAGGAAACAGACCACTTTTAGAACCGTCAAATATCCTTGAGTCTTCAGGTCTCCACAGTATATTCTCTCTGAAGGTTAACCTCTATATACCAGATGTCCATGAAGTGTGTGAACTACATTGCAATTGTAGATACCCAGCACTGACTTGTGAAAAATTTACTGAAGCCCCACACCCTTCAGTAATGGTCCAGGTTCAGGATGTATTGTCACAACAATGCTTTATGTTGTGAACCATCTTTAGCTTGGTTGAATTTGAGCAACAAGTAAAATGTAGATCACATCTGGGGCCTCAAATTTAGTCTGATGACCATCAAATATATTTTTGTGAGATGGGGCCTCTATGGATCGGATTTGTGTACCTGCACATCCCACATGTGCTTGATCAGATTGAGATATCTGCATGAATGCCAGGACCCAAGGTTTCTGATCAGTCTTACCCAGAGCATAAACCTGCCTCCGTTATCCTACCTTCTTCCCATAGTACATCCTGTTGCCATCTCTTCCCTTGGTAAATGAAGCACACATGCTCAGCTATCCACTTGTTTTTTTGTTTTTTTTAAAAAAAAAACCTGATTGATTCAGACCAGGCAAATTTCTTCCATTGCTCCATGGTCCAGTTTTGATGCTCATGCCCCCGTTGAAAGTGCTTTCAGTGGTGGACGTGGGTCATCATTGGCACTTAGGAAGGTGTCATTGTGGCTTGCTGTGCATGAGAATTTGGAACCTCAGACCGGTCAATCATGCCTAGCTTTACATTTTTCAGCAATTTAATCTACAGTAGCTCTTCTGTGTGATCAAACCAGATGGACTAGCCTTTGCTCTTCAGACCTAAATTGCTTTGGGTGCTTATGACTCGAATGTCCTTCTTGGCACAACTTTTTTTTTTTTTAAATTATTCTTTTTTCAAAGCACTAGTCACTGCATACCAGTAACACCACACAAGACTTGCCGTTTTGGAGATGACCCAATCGTCTAGCTATCACTAGTTGTCAAAGTCACACAGATCTTTTTGCTTTCCTCTTTCCTGCTTCCAACACCTGACTATTCTCTTGCTCCCTAATATATCTCATCCCTTGACATTGTAGTGTTATAATCAACACTGTTAGTGATCAGCCATAACATTAAAACTGTATATATGCTACTCCAATCTTGAAAAATCATTTCTGTATTAAACATGTTTGCTTGGTTTGATGGCATTCCAAATCTAAGTAAAAATATTCGGGGTAAACCTGTTAACCGCAGAACTAAGTGCCGTGGCTACTTCTGCTATTTCCTCCATTTATCCTTTTCTCAAGACCACTTAATTATGCTAAGACTCTCTCCCCTTTCCTTTTATTTAAAGAGGTGGGTTTTTTGGGGTGTTTTTTTTTTTTTTCTCCCCTGTTGCATCACAGAGTACTTTAGTCATCCTTTTCCTGGATCTAGTTATTTGATCTTCGTGTCCCTTTAGAGTTAGACAATTGTTGCTATCTTGGTAATCTCTATAGGAGTATTCCACATATCAGATGTGGCTAGGTGGTATGCAACACTGTAATTGTTGGTTGAGCAATAACTGTAGGTTGCTTCCTCTCTGTTAGAATATGCAACGCTTTAAGGGTTACTCAAACAACCTTGACCTCTTCACTGATTTGAAGTGGTCGTGGTAGCAGGATTATATATGTCCAGTATTTCAGCTTGAAACACTGTACATGCAGAGTTATTGTTAATTGTGTGTTAAGAACTAGTTGCACCCCCCAGCACACGTGACCTTTGCACCCCAGAGTTCTAGACTGTCATGGTCAATTCTAGGCAGATTGCACAGTGCCAAAAGATGAGGAAATCATCCTCCCACCCACTATGCATTCCCTCCGGTCTCCCTCATTGAAGAAACATTGGTTTGTTTTTTATGGAAAAAAAAAAGCCTCCCTCGTTCACTCATCCATCCTCTCCAATTCCACCCTTTCTGGCCCAGAGCTCACTTATGCGCTCTGAGCCAGCGAAATGGTCCAAACACAGGCCTCTGTATGAGAAGCCAGTGATTGGACCACGTGAGGAGGCATTGGAATATCCGTGCCGGGAGCTTCTTACAGTGCTGGATTCCAGGTTATACTGCAAATCGTTTGGGGTTCTTCTCTAGAGTGCCCAATAAGGCATATTAGACCGGAAAGCCCCCCTCAAAAGGGTTGGAGTAAACATTTTAATCCAACATTTTAGATGGTGCTACAGATATCCTTTCACCATATTAAAGGAGTATATTAAGCTGTTTTTTTTTCTATTTCTAGCAGGTTTTTTTTTTTTTTTTTTTATAGGAATCTGAAAAGGAGGGGGGATAACTTTGTCTCTTTAAAGCATTGGGGGTATGTTACCCTTCAATCTTATTTTCTATTTGTTTTTTTTTGTTTTTTATATTACAATTTTAATTACATTTCATTTGTATGTGGGGATCCTTTAAGACTCGGTATGGGCATTACCGACAATAAACCATAAACAAAAAGATGGTCCCTTCATCACAACCAAAATGGTCCCATAGTGAAGACCTTATTTTAGCCGTACAAACTCTAAGCGATGCCTAGATATTCAAAAAAGGTGAAAGTGAAAAGTGACATACGTTGTGCAATCCTATGAAATATGTTAATGCTTTATAATTTATCAACATTACCATCTTTCCTCTTGATTTGCAGTAGGACTAGTAAGTTCCATGTAAGCAACATCCAACCAGTCTGTACCGACAAATTATTTTTTTCATGATAATTAGACCTCAAAGACCAATTTCATGATTACTAGCAAAGGACAAATAGGATTGCTCCCTGCTCCCTTGTCCTCAGTTGCTCCACCGGTAGACATCTGTCTAACAATCTAGTCAGGAATGCAGCTGTTTATATGGAGTCCACATGCGTTCCTTTCTCATGGTTCATGGCATCACAACCGTTGCTCTGAATCTACTGAACTGAAGAGCAGATGTTTCCTGTTCAACGTCATGTTGCATTTAAAAAAACAAAACAAAAAAAAACCACTCCTATAAATCCAGTGCACAGATAACAGTTGGGGGGACTATCTGGCCATAACAGAAATCATCAAACAGAAACCACAATAATCACGTGGGTATATTTGTGGTTTATTAATAAGAAAAAAGGGTAGTTTACTGGAGCACTGCCTTTGGCATGGATACATTCATTTATAAAACATGAAGCATATGTAATAAATGGAATTGTGAAAATAATTGTAGCAGATTATTGAACCATATGTGTCTAGTGCAAGCCATAACACATTGGTCATCATGTAGTTTGTACCAGTCAGTTACATAGGACCTGACTTTCTTTTATTAGGCTATTCATTCCCCATGGAAGCAGTAAACACTGTGATGACCTGTTGATTGCACATATGGTAACCGACACGATTATTGCATTGAACGGATTTCTTCTTTTGCGTAATGTCACCCATTCCTGGATGCTGTGCTTCTGGTCTACACTCATACATGTCCTATTGTATCTAGCATTTGTGTATTCTGGTGTGCAAAATTAGACCACCTATAGGCCCTTTGTACACTAATGCATTTTATTTTAATATGTTCTGTTTGTGGAGGATTAAATGTGGTTAGTTTGATAGCTGTATAGGTGGTAGCTGGCCTGCTGCTTTTACTCTTGCGGGGAAGAAAATGCATATACTTGATTCAAAAAACACTCACAATAGCGAAGTCAACTATTTTGATTTGAATAGTTATATACAAATGTGTATGAGAGGGCCATGACCTCATGTTATCTAAGGCAGTGCTACTCAACAAGCTCCAGAACCACAATTTCCATGATTTATAATCCCAAAGGCTGACAAAGCATCATGGGAGCTGTAGTTTTAAATCTGTGAATCGAATCTATTGCGCTCCCCTGCCTTAAAGGAACCCTATAGTGTCCTGCAGGGGCGTACCTAGAGCATTTGGCACTGGGGCGGACCCTGTATGTGGCATTCGCACACACACTCTTGGGATTGACTGACATAATCAAGACTGATATCAGCCATGGAAGCGAAACCAGGTAGGGCCAGTCGCAGCAAGAGCGTAAACATCTTTTCACTGCACAGACAGGGGGACCAGTGTCCTTACTATAGTATCCCTCCTCTTCCCCCCCCCCCCCTTTGCTTAGTACACCACTGGTGTCATGAATATAAACATGTACTTATAGACAGCCACATCAGCACTCTAGGGTCACTGGCCCCTCCTGTCTGTGCAGTGAAATGATGTTTACTCACATTTTTTCCCATGCCACCCCGGTCTTGCTGTGACTGGCCCCACCTGGCTTCACCTCCATGGCTAAGATCATCCATCTTGATGTCAGCCAATCCAATAAGTTCCCATAGGAAAAAGGCCATATTGCGCCAGTTGGCATGTTCTCCTAGAGATGCATTAAATCACTGAATCTCCGTGGAGCATTTAGCGTCTTCATGCAGCACTAAGGAAGCACCTCTAGAGGCTGCTGAGTGACTACCACTCGGTGTTAATATGCCGCAATGTAAACACAGGCAGCGTTTCCATTGAAAAGCCTGCAGGGACAGGCTATAGCCTGTAAAAGGCCAGCGTGACAGAAAATTTCCATCATGTGGATATAGACACCAGAACCACTACATTAAGTTGTAGTGGCTCTGACTATGGTGTCCCTTTAAGGTTTATGTTGAAGATTAAAGCAAATAAGGCTCATAGATGGGCAAAGCAATGTATTTTTTTTTATTTTTTGCTCTTTTTTCTGTCCTAGTATGGTCATGCATTTTTAATTTTAGATTTGTAATTTACATCTTCTGTACATTTACGTTTTGTTTTGTTTGTTTTTTTACAGGTAGTGACATGTTTAAAACTAGCTGCAGTGTCAGAAGTGGGAGTCTTTCCAGGGGGTAAGTTGGTGACCCCCAATGCAGGTAGATTGTCAGATTGCCCTTATAGCTTTAGCACTGAAATAACATAAATCAAAATATTTTAAATATAAATGAATCTGCATGTCACAATTTCTGCTTCACACTCTCTAGTATCTGTTCTCTTCTCAGAGAGCAATCACCAGTCATTAATTGCAGTATGTAAAGCAGAAGGCATTGATGTGTTATGCACAGAAAGTATTAATTATCACTTAAATACTTCACATTCAAATGAGCTACCGGAGTCAACCCATGTCACTGGTCCTTTGCAGGGAGGCATTTAACAGTGTTAGATCTAATCATCACCGTCTGTAAGAAAAGCTAAATTTCCAAATTCCTAAAATTTCATAGTCATTGCTTTCTACTCGCCTGGGCTAAATTTTCACTCACCAATTGCTAGTGGCAAGTGGCATTTTGAGCTTAGAAAATATAAATAGTTTAAAATTTGAAGGCAGTGAGCCAGGCTTTAAAAGTTACTCACCACTGCAAGTCCAAAAATGCTCAACCGCATAAGTGTGTGTGTGTCTACATATAATTTAAACCATGGAACTAGGGTATATAATGATTAATATGATGGGGACTTCATCAAAGCAAATAGTCTGACTAATTTACCTAAATCTTTAAGGACCATAATACTTCTACTGAGGTTACAGTTATGTTTAACTATATTCATGTCATACACTTATTGAATGACTGGCAATCTCAAAATGGTAAAACATCCAGGGCTTGATTTGCATGTCACAGAATTCTAAGGAACCTACTCCCTTCCACCTACAATAGGTGTTTAGTTTTTAAGAGCAGGTTAAGTAAAATTAAGGTAATCCTATACATATGTAGCTGATATGTAAATATTTTATATCACTTTTTTTTATGCCTGTACGAATCAACTGTGTACAAAGTAGTTAATGTCCAAAGGACCCGTGACCTGACCTACTACGTTTGGCCAAACATTTGGCATTCATTTTCCCTGTATGTTATAAAACACTTATTTTTTGTTCAATGTATGTAAACATGATTAATGTTGGCTTATTTCAGAGCTGAACAGGCGATGTTGTACATTCATTTGCACCTATCTGATCTACAAAGTTATTGAAACCCATAATTTGCGTAGAATGAACGGCTCATTTAGAAGCAGTGTTTGTGCGTTTCAATTTTCCTATGTAAAAAAACATGTGCTAGGCTATCTAGATTTAGACAAATCTCCTAAACAAATGTTACCTCAAAATATAAATATACTGTACTGCAGATAGGCACACCTTGTATATTTATTTTGTACATACCATTCCACACTGACTGACCTTAACTGTGTCTGCGTGTGTGTGTTTTCGTTTATCTCAATTGTCTTGAGGAATTTATCATGCGAAAAAGTTTACCCCAACACCAAAAGCACAAGTGAATTTAGGTCATAGGAGAGAATTCCTGCAGAAACATCGCTTTTCTGCTCCAGTTCCTTCCCTGGGCCGCTGGACGCGTAGAAAATGCAGTCACTTAAATTATGTCCTTTCAATCAGCACTGGTACACAGGCCACTGGAGACGGGCCATAGAGCCAGCAAAAGTCCTCGCGGGTATTCGGCATTGGGAGGAAACTTCACCATCTCCCCCTCTCCCTGACAATGTGCATTAGGATTCCCGTGTCTATAAAGAGAAATCTCATGTATGTTTGCAACCCACCGCTTACGGCAAACAAAGCGCTTGCTTTATTTATAACAAGATCTTCGCTCCCCCTCCCAAGCACATGAAGTAAAAACATTTACCATAGACAATTTCCGATGGTCATCGGAGGGTTTAATTAGATTTTTAGCAAAATAGGATTTGATTTTTATGAAATGTATTTGAAAAATATCTTCCTTTTAAAGGAACCTAAGCAGTGCATATATCATTATAGAAACTGAAGTTTGTTTTTTTACTTGGTCATGTAAAAAAAAAATAGCCTGGTTGAGTGGTTACCACAGATGTTTGCTGTGACATCATCAATTTTCTATATTTAGGTTATAAAATATGAAAACAAAGATTAGAAAAAAACAAAAAAACATTCAATCTTCTAAATGTTACAACAGCTTAAGGAAAAAATATTGATAAATAAAAATGCTGATGCTTTGCCATTTAATGTCCTACTTCTATTTATTTGAGCGAATCCAATAGACACCCAGAAATTCAGATAAGGTTATAGATGTGAGACTTGGAGTGTAAATCAGTTGGGCATTTTCTTCCATGAATGAGTGTAATCAGCATGAAATTTATCAGTAGGAATTAACAAAAATCTTTAATTTCCAAGTTGCCTAAAATCAGAGATGAAAGACCACATCTGTAATGCTATTCACCTGTTCCACAGGAGACTGTATACAATCAAAAATAAGTAGCACTGGGATTATTTTTCCTGTTTATTTATAAATTTGTCTCATTCTATTTACTTTTTTGTTTATTAGCATATAGCGCAACCTATATATTCTTTTTATTTTTTTATTTTTTTCGTCCAATTTATTTGAGGATACGAGAGGGAACCTCAATACTATAGGTTGCTGCTTCCCCATTTGTTCTTAGCTTCTACTGATTTTTTTAGCGCTGACCCATTACCTTTCGATCAAAAATAAGTGTTGCTTTCATAAAGATATCTTGGCCTAATATGTTAAAGTATGCAAATCTGTTGGATAGAAATTTGAAAATACCAGACAAATCTAGTCAATAAATGTTTTATTCTTTCTTTTACAGCTAATCCATCTTGACCTGTCAGTTGCCACCTTTGTTCTGAAAATGAAAATGTGTCCAGTCTTGTTACCTCCCTCACCTATAGGTTTTTCTTCTAGAAAGCTAGGGAACATGTTCTAAATGAAGTTTTGTTTGTCTTCTTGTACGGAACAATTAATCTATATATATCTTGCGAATAAAGCACATGCGATGGTTAACTTTGGATAGGTGATATACAAAATTGCTGCAAATTATCATAATCTAATAAAAGTGGCTTTTTTGGTGAACATTCAACGCTGTCGGTGAGTTTGGTATTTAAAGGCAAACCATCGATCGTTGATTGTACATTAAGAACAGCTGATTGCCTGCAACTATATTTTCCTTCTCTCCCAATGACCAGATCATCCGGAGCTCCTGCATTTATTTTCTCATGCCCTAATTACGTCAACCATTCAATCTCATTTTGAGCTGCAATGCACTTTCTTCCTTTCCTTCAATTACCATTGCTTAAATTATCTGTTCATACATTTAAATTGAAGGCTTTTCTTTTCCATATGACGAGATAACACCCAGTATTGTGCACCCCACTACGGTTCTTGTGAACACTGCTGTCTAATTAAATTGGAGTTAAGCTATCATGCTCCCCCAGCTATTTTAAGCAACAGTTCTTGATGCCTGACCCAGATTCAGGGCATTAATCTTGCTTTTCAGATGACTGTAAAACTGTATTCTTCATCAATTATATTAAGTAGTATTAATGTTAAGTACTTATACCAACTATTTATTCAAGCATGGCTTCTTGATAATTCAATTTAGATTGACCTCTAGCAAACTTAAAAAAAAAAAATCCATCTCTATTACATGAGTGCCCTTTATTTCACCCTGCCCAAGAATGTGTGGGTCCTTTACCAGGCCTATTGCTATAGGTCAGTGTTTTGCTAATATTTTCAATACATGATAAATTCAGGATAAAATTCCTTTCCACCACTATTGTCCAATCTCTTATTACACATTACAACTTCCTGTATACAATTTGGAAGTACCTATGTATATGGTGACTAAATTTATCGTATTTTTCATGTAGTTTTGCCTTGTTTCTACCTCGATTCCTCTTAACTTTATGGACTGTCGAACTTCATGGAAAAATTCAATGAAAGGTCACAATCAACATTCATTGCTGTCGGTGGGTTGAATTAAGAAAACAAGCTCGCTGAACGATGAATGCAACTGTGTCCCCACTAAATACCAGATTCAAGCGACATCTTACTTTACATGGAATTCATAAATGAATATACATCTGTCTACAAATAGAGCCATTTTGACCAATGTAACTCCACATAGAGATACAATACTGAAGATTAGTTATGGTCAAACCTACCAATAGCGCTCCTTCAACCATAACTTTGGAGTTGATGCAAAGATGAATGTGCAGGTAGAAATTCACTCATGAATTAAATGTTAGTCTATATAAAAGAGAGAGCCTGTTAAGTATTTCATGTGTTGCTACAGGTAACCTAAATTCTTTATTATTTCCATAACACTATCCAAAAGGTTTTTAAATGTTTTGGTGTAAAAGTTATCAGCGTCTGAACTGCTGGTAAAATATACGGTCTGCCATTCTGTTACTGTGATGGTGTACAAGAAAAATAAACAATACATCAACTGCAAGTGTCAACTTAAATTTGTTACTTGACCACCGTGAATGAATTTGGTTTGTTATGCAAGTTATGTAACTTTCTGTTAAAGTATCATGAGGGAACTTGCTCAATAAAGAATCACTCAAACTTTGAGTTGTCCTATATTTCTTAGACCATTCAAAATGAATGGCTGATGAGTGGATAGTTCACAAAGGAACAATGTCACAGAACTTGGTGCTTTATCATGGCTGTTTTCAAAAGTGATGGGTCCATTAGAGTGGGTGTTCGAATACTGTAAAGCAAATTATATTTGAGGATTCCATGTAACTTGCCATGACCTGTTCCATTTTTAAGAATTCTAGAAAAGGAACAGAGAAGAGATCGAGGTGCAAGCTGCATGGACCCTCAGACCTTAGAGGTCCTGCTACAACTGCAGCCACACAATCCGAATATTTATTTTACTTTTTAAAGCAAATGCTTTATGTGAACATTTCTGATATTTTGGTACCAAGCACTATTACGGTCCATACAAAGGGTGGTATTGTCTAACCATTAAATTGTGATGAATTAAAAAGAAATGAAGACCTTGGCAGATTAGTTATATCCCACCAATGCAATAGGCAGACATCTGTTTATATGTTCACATTTAGACAATTGGAGTACTTCAAGACACTCCAATGAAAAAATTGTATCTGTTTGAATGGTCACTATGGTGTTTTACCTCTTATTTATAGATATATAAAATATGTAGTACTACCAGCATTCAGATCTGCTGTAAATACCAGTAAAGATGTAACTAAATGAATCACTAGCATATGTGATGCATGCAGGGTTATTTGCTGCGAGACATTGGGTTTTGAGCAGACTATCACACAGCAACACTGCTTCAGTATTCATACCGCTACTTCCTTTCATGAAACGGGCATAGGAAGATGTATCTATATATGCCAAGCATCAGAGGAATATCAGTTTATTGTCCAATAATCATGCTCAGGGATGTTGATGCATTAGTAGTATAGATGAATACAGTTTACTCCAACAAATACTGGATATGGCAAGTTTGACGAGTCACATAGAAAAATTTAGAAGCCAAAGGGTCTGATGCAAGGCGTAGACATGCCTTGAATTTTGATTAAAAATTTTTTTTTTTTAAATCAAATATTCTCAAGATCGCACGTTAAAAATGCCATGATCCGATCAATTGAAGTGTTTTGGATAGATGGAAATCAATGGGATTTCACCATGGGAAAGTATAGCAACACCACAGCTGGCATATTCTTGGGTATAAAAGCTTAAAAAATAAAACGCAGACATTGAAACAATTATTTGTGTGTTTGCATTATCAGTACACATTGAACTGGTCAGTGTATTTTAATAGGCTTAAGCAAGACTTGGTTTTAATCTGAAATCTTACAGCTTTACCACCTCTACAGCAACCTCTAATTATAAAGAAATTCTGCTCACATTGGGAAACAAAATTGCATATCTAGTGTCAAGTCTAACCATTCCCTCTTATGCTGCTTTACCTCTATGACAAGGTCAGGTTCATCTATCGTCAACTAATTACCTTTTTTGTGTCTGTATTCTCTGTCCGGAAATAGCTGAACCCAAAAAATGGACTTGCCTTATACAAAATAAGTTAAATAGAATATTCCACTGTACTATGGCTCAAGAATAAAACTGTTTAAATATCAGAAGAGCAAAGAGTTACAAAAGTAAGGAATTTATAGGGCTTTATTAAATGCGTTTCTCTCTTGTTCTGTCTCTTTATTTCTCTTTCTCGCTCTGTGTTGTCACCTATGAATGTTATCATGTTCTGTACTCCCTTGTAGTGCACAAAGCCTCCAGCTCTCTACCCATTTGTAAAAGGGAGGCTAACTATGAGTCAGTGTTTCTATTGACAGTTCCCTGTGCAGAGCCCTCGTCTAAAGATCTAAAGAGCAAACTGCTGTGTGCAAAAAAAAAAAAAAAAAGCACCAGATGTGAAGGTTCTGGGAGATGTACGTATACTCTGAGGATATTAGAGATCAAAATTCCCCTATAGAGGAACAAAGCTGAATTTGTCCTCATTTTTTTTTCTTTCTTCTTTTCAATTCAATAGAAAAATTAATTTATGCAAAGTAGTAAGTGGAAGGAAATCTCCAGACTGCATGGAAATGAGATGTCAGGATTTAATCTCGTAAAGAAGAAATGGGGCGGATTATATGCTTTGCGAGTGCAATCCTGTGTCCCACTTAGCAAAATATATTACAAGTGCAATATCTGGAACTAGATGAAATCTGAATTGCCACCAAAAACATGGGCATGAGTCCATGTTTTTTGGTCAAAGTTACAACTTGGATATACAGATATAGTTATCTTTTTTACAGATGTGTATATATGAAATATATACACACGTATGTATGTGTGTGTGTGTGTGTGTATATATATAATATATATATATATCTCCATCCCATTATACATATTTGAAGAATGAGGCTGGCCGTAGCATTTTATCCTCCTTTACCAATTTATCTTTGCCAAATGGCATCTGACCAGTAACTGCAAGTGGAAATATTTGTGTATTGAACATACATAGATCCATCCTACTGACATCTGCATTCTACAAAGCCATGACTGAATGGTGCATTACAAGATTATCATCTGTGGAAAGGACCCACAGATCCCGCATTTATGAAGGCATTAAATGTTAATCTGGATCTAGCAGGAGATTTGCATATGCAACTGACATTGCTCATGTCTATACCAGTCTCTCAGTGGACTGACACGCAAACAAAACTGTATGTATATAAAGCCACTTAAAATCCCTTTAACCTAGCGCTTCAATGCAGATTCAAATATTAAAGGCACACTATAGTGACAGGCATACAGACATGCATTCCAATCACTTTAGCTTTGCTAACACTATTTGCATTGTAACCCAAGTAAAAGATGAGTTTACTCATCTTTATTCTAGCACCGTGCAGGTCTGTCGTGGCTGGCTCCGTCCTAGTTCTGCCTCTATCGCTAAGATCATCAAAATTCACGATCTCCGCCAATCCAATGCTTTCCCATGAGTACGCACTGGGATCATTAAAATTCACGATCTCTGCCAATCCAGTGCTTTCCCATGAGAAAGCACTGGGATCATCAAAATTCTTCATCTCCGCCAATCCAATGCTTTCCCATTGCGCAAATCAGCATTTCCTCACATTGAGCAACACTGAACCAGGAAGCACCTCTAGTGGCCGTCTGAGTGACAGCTACTAGAGATGTTACTAGGCCTAAGGTTCAGCTCTATTATAAGGCCTTGTAGCCTTTTACGGGAGACTCCTTCCCTCTCAGGATGGGAATGGTGTAATCCTCAAAAAGCAAATAAAGGAGGATTACCCCACCAAAAGAGGAAAGGAGTCTCCTGCAATAAGCACCAAGGCGTTATAACAGAGCTGAACCTTAGGTTCTATTTCATGTGAGTGGACGCACAGAATGGGGGCTTTGGTGTATCAATATATACTATCTGCATTATAAGTCTTTTTTTAAGTCCCCATCTTTTGTGAGAGTTGTATTGCTGCAAAATATTCTAGCACTTTATGATTTATATTGTTTGCAGTTACACTTTAAAGGGGATACTAATACTGATTGGAGATAACTTGCCATATTAAGTTGTCTTTTGCATTTAATTACACTGCATAATTTAATTATACTTATATGTTGGTTGTTTTGACACTGTATAGGTGAATCAAAGATTGACACTAAATACATTTTTTTTTAAATTGTTTAAGTTTGCTGTTTTGCACGTGACTATACCATTATGTGCACTTAAGCACTTTAGTATCTGTAAAATGCAATGTTTAATATTTGATTCTGTATTTAAGCGCTACACTATAATTTTAGCTCAGTTCTAGAACACGGTGGCGAATACACGCTATGTGGCTTTATGTACTGCTGTACCTGCACCCTTATGTTACTAATTAAGATTTCTAAAGTGCATTCACTAAACTTGGAATTACTGTTACTTTTAAACTAAATGAGAAACTTTTTCCAAAATTTTTAAAGCTGTGGCTAAAGCCAAGTTAAAGAAATTTTCCAAATCTTCTGTTTTTGCCTGCATTTTCGTATCTGGCTTACAGTTCAGTGTTGTGTTTAAAAAAAAAAAAAAGGTATTTTGTCTGATTTATTGGCCTGTGTCATTGAAGCCTAAATACCATATGTTCCAGTGATGCCATGTGCATCTTCTGTACAAGGGGAATTCTAATAAAGAGAAATAATAACATATAATTCTTACTTTAGTTTCTAACGGCTTTTATTTGTGTCATCGAAATGTACAACAGTGCGATAGGACGGCAAAATAGGAGACACGCAGGTCTCGCAAAATCGTGAGCAGCCATATGATTATAAAGGAATGAGAACCGAAACAATATTAACAATTAGAAGGTAGTACAGTATCCGTATCGGTAACTTCGTTATGTTACATGTATTAAATATACAAACATTTACATCTTATGGTCGTACATTATGGGGTGAGTGTGTCACCTCTGGGTGAGCCAGGTAGTGACTGTGTGGGGCAAGATTTGCCTGTCATCATAGTGGTTGCATATAGCCTAGGAGTATCTTCTAGGCGGATAGGGGCTATTATAATGTCTGTGGTATAGCTAACCTGAAGGTTTAGTTCGTAGATGGGACTCGTCGTCCCATATAATATTGATAAATAGTGGGTTTCCATTGGGTCTTATTGCCTTTGGCCGCGCACTCCTCGCGCGGGTCCTGTTTTGTCGTGCGGGCGGTGTAATCTGTTGGTTCAGTCTATAATAGTGGGCAGTAGCGAGTTAGCGGAGCATTCGTATAGTATCTGAGGCCCAAGCCTGCCATGCCCTCCCGTTTGACTGTTGTTGAAACTAGTGTGCACGGTCAATGAGGTCAGACTGTTGCGTGGGGGTAGGGAAAGAGCAAGTGGTGTAGAAAGGAGAACATGAAAACAGGAGGGTTTGGGGAAGAGAGGGAAGGTAAGAAAGGGGAGGAAGAGAAGAGCGAGAGAAAAAAATTAAAGGGGGGGATCTTGAGGAGCACTCTCGTTGTGCCCGTGGTAGATTCGGATCTGTGGTGTTCCGTGTAGTGCGGTGTCACCCGGCCTGGGGCGGGGGGGAGAGGGGCTCCCCTCATGGGCCACGCCCCCGCCCTGCCATGTAAGCCAGCCATGGCCGCCACCTCTCAACATGTTTCTCCTCCATACCTATCTG